TTGCTCTGTCGAAGTGTTAGTGGAGCTACTGGCTTAGGAGACGGGTGAACAATATGAAGGGAGGTAGCACAGAAACAGCGGGGATGTAGGACACTGGTAACGGGCGGGGGAGACTCACTAGTATCGTGGTTGACGGTAAGCCTCAGCAACGAGAGGTCAGGGCCATAAATGGCGCAACCGTCGCCGATGAGCTTCAAGTCGGCACTGACTCCATCGCTGTGCCAGTCGACGTTGGAAGCCGAGTAGCCTCGGCACTTCTCGTTGACACCGGGAGTGAGGTCGGCGAGCGCACGAGCGGACAGCAGCGACGCCGCGATGAAAAGTGTTTGGACTGGGAAACTCCACATAGCGGGCGGGGGGGGGGGGGGGGGGGGGGGGGGGGGGGGGGCGGCCGATACGAGGAAGATTGAGTGAAGAACAGAACCGTACTGTGACCTGAGGGGATCAGGCTTCACATTTGTACCTCTCCACGTCTCGACGAAAGGGCCCGGTCAATGCGCCATAGGTTCGGGGGTCCACCGCCAAGCCCGGAGCGCGCTGCAGCCACTGCGTCACCTCTGCCGATGTCAGGCTCCGCCGCCGCAACTCTTCCCCGCACACTTCGCTCGGTGTAAGTCCTTCTCGACGGCGGTCCCGTAGCTAGCGTTGGCGCATCCGCATCCCAGATGTGCGGGGGAATCACCATGCAGCCCGCCGCTCGCCATGTGGTCCGACCTTGATCGGGAAGCTGGCCGAGCAGACTCCTCAACTAATATAAACGAGGGTGCTCAAGCAATATCGAGACATCTTTTTCTTTTTCGGCGCTGAGCTTCAATGTCGAAAGAGAGTAAGGTTTCCTCCCGGCGGGGGCGGGGGTGGAGTGTGGAGAATGATCGCTGGAAGCGAGCGAGTCAGCCTTTCGCGAGATGGTAGGGAAAAACATCCGAGTCGCGTGCCAGCCACAGTGTGGCGTGGTGAGCCACAAAGAGCTCGATAGAGTTAATTACTTTGCTACGGTGTGCCTTCCAGTGGCAGTCGGCATTGCCGCATTGCCGCATTGTGGCCACATGGGAAACAGGCCCTTTATGCACGAGTAAGAATGCACCAGGCGCACCTCACGTTCTCACCCCTGACCCCTGGAACGGGATACTCTCTTGCGTTGCAGTCGCTAGTGCACACTAACCACTCAAAAGAAGTAGCACTGCCACACCTTCACTCCCACCGAACAATTTATGGCATAACTTGGCGCGCTGACCGGGCGCGCTCACTGGAGTGGAAACATGTATGCAGGCGGCGACATCACCATCACTCGGTTTCCCAATGAACTGGAAATAGAAGTATTTAGACAACCACCGCGTCTGCAGAAGGATGTCCCCCCTGAACGGATATCCCTTGAGCACTGTGGCGCTGTACTTGTATTTTATTTTTTTTATTTTTATTTACTGCCGCAGTAAAGAGTTTAGCGCTGCAACGCAGGACCTACCCCCCCTGGAACCCGGTGCACCGCCTCCCCCGCGTTGAGCCACACTATATCCGCAGCGGCTGCTGCACACGAAGAACGAATCGAAATCCAATCGAAAAGGCCGTTTGCGGGGGCGGGCGCGGAACTGGCGCCAGTCCGGATGACGGAAAATTGGCGGTGGCTCGTTGGGCTATGTATGCTACTAGAATATTCCACACCCGCTGTCAGATCTACCGACAGTCAACTTCCTAAACGGCGGCCCACCACATTGGCTCCATTATCGCTGCCTCCGCTGCCACGTTACGGTGCCTTGCGCATGCATGCATGCTTGCTTGTTTGCCATGTTTTCCGCGTGGCGTGGGTTCTGCAGAACGGTCTTCCCGCCGGTCTCCCCATTACTTTGTTCTTCTCCGCATGCTTCCTCGATTAATCCCTCACAAAGCTGCATGATGATGGTGATGCGCGAACAACGTGGAATCCACATCGGCGTGAGTGAACGGGGAACCGACCGAACCACACACACACGAAGTCGGCAGTAGTGAGATGGTGGATGGGGTCGTATGTGCGTGAAGACAACACCACTGCGAGTACATACAGATGCGAACATTCGATTGGTCCGGAAGTCTTCACGAACAGCGGTTTGGTTCTCCTCCCGTAAAGGCCCAAGCCACGATGGCAGCCAGTGCAGGACGGATACTCGGGGATTGTAATGTAGAATGTATATACTTCTGAATACTGCTACATGTATTCCAAATACTGCTAGGTGACTGGACTAGACGATACAGAACACAGCTGGCAGGGAATAGTAAACGGGCATGGGCCCCCGAGAATAGTCGCAGAGCGCTGTAGGATTCCCGCTGATTCCTCGATCGCCATGGTATTGTGGAGTCCAATATTGTGGAGTCCAATATTGTGGAGTCCAACTACTACTTCGCGTAAACTTCGGACGGATGACCGATCAGGCGTCGCCCGCCGGCCATCTTAAGTTGCGACTTTCGAATACAGAATGGCCACACTCCCGGTCATGGTGTGGGGGGCGATGGCGGGCACGGAGATCTGTACTGCATCGGCACTGGGTATCTAGTATGATTCATCTAAATATACTCGATTCCACACTTTGACACTTGCCAAGAGTAGCGGCCACAGCTCTGAGGGCGGCTTCATCGGCGGCGGCGGAGGAGGAAGAGGGATGACGCTCTACTTGGCGGATGCAGAGTCGAAAAGCGAGGAGCACCCACGCCTTGACCGGGGTGCTGGAGCACGTTGATCGGCGGTGCGGCTCGATTGGTGGCAGGGAGCTTATGGTTGGCGGGAGAGGTTGCGTTGCCGCGGGAACCTCTCCTATACGGACCTGAACTGAGTCCAGAGCTGGCGGACCATGGTGGTCGCGGCAGTCGTTTTGGACGGGAGCTCATATCTGTGCGGCGATATTGTCAAAATTTGACGTCCGAAGATGATGCAACTCGGATCGGATCATCGGAAGTCTTGGACAATGGAAGCTCTCGGAGCACCCGAGGATGGATCGATGTGATGGATTGGCATTTCAAGTTTTAACCAGTAGTTCCGGCCTCAATTTCTGAGCTGCTAGGGATGGGGTTATGGAGACTTGGTATTGTCGGCAATGGATATGCAGATACCGATGCAAGGATGTCTAGACGATGTTCTGTTACTTCTCGTGCTTCTCGTTCGCCCAGGGCCCAGGGAGGCCCTCTATGTACATGTCCTATCCGCTTCAAGATATCATTCCTTCACGTAGAAGATATTCACGTCATCAGATAGTTCGCCAGGGGTTTTTGATGTATCCAACAAATCGTAAGTCAGGAGCCTTCAAGAATCCTGCTGTTGGAGGTATTGAGGCCATTGCTTCAGGGCGCTGAAGCCGTCGAAGAATTAGCGAGGGATAGAAGAGGATTGTCCATCGCAGGGCACCCACCACTTTCTAAGCATCGAAGTCCTGTTTCCAGCACGGAAAAAAACCCCGCGTGGTCTAGTGGCCCAGGCCACGCAAACGGTGGGAGGAGTTGGGGGAAAATTGCGGGTTCAACCCAGGTGAAATGTTGGAAGGATTGGTGGTCGAGATCACCGCAACGATCACGATGGGGAGAGGTGTTGTGTTATTCTCTAGGAACTACGATCCGAGTACACATCTAGCAGGCGTGACAATGGACATCGTCTCAAAGAACGATGCCATGCGCAATCCGTAGATGGTGCCTGACGGAGCCGCTGTTACTGTTGTAGCAGCTGCGCTTGTCGAGGCAGTGCTTGCATACCCAGTGACGTTCAACCTTGACCGCGACAGGGTCCCCATGCTGCCATATCACAGACGTCAGCTTCTGCCGGCCTGCGGTCAGCGCAGGTGCCGGTTCCGCAAATTTCGCGGGTGGAACGCTGGGTGCCTGGGCACTGTCTTGATGCTTGACGCGTTTGGAGCTCCGCCGAGTCTCTGGGACCCTGGGTGTCACCTGCGTGGTCGAGACCCTGTGGTTTTTCGCCGGCGGAACGCTGGGTACCTGGGTACCGTCTTGACGCTTGAAGTGCTTGCTGCCCCGCCGAGTCTCTGGGACCCTGTTGTTCACCAGCGTGGTCAGGACGAGATGGGGGAGACTCAGTAACAACTCTAACCGGAAGGTTGCTTGCTCCCAGTCATCTGGTAGCGAGTGTTCTTCGAGTAATCCGCCCTCTCCGACGACCAAGACCCGGGGAAGGAATTTTGGCGGCTCCTCAATACTGGACCGGAGGGTGACGTTGATGACCGACCAGTCAACCGTGGTGACGGTGCCCTTAACGGTCTTGACCAGCTTGACGTCGCAAGCCTGCGTGTTCCCCGGGAGCTTTGTAATGATGGCCGGGAGCTCCTCGGTGATCGTCCCAACCTTCCAGTCCCAACCGTCGTCGGAGTCCCGACCGTCGTCAGAGTCCCGATCGTCGTCAGAGTTCCGATCGTCTTCAGAGTCCCAACCGTTGTCAGAGTCGCAACCGTTGCCAGAGTCCCAACCGTTGTCAGACCTACAGGGCGATTAGCGGAACGAACAGCTGTAAGTGACTGTAAGTCGGAAAAAATCTACATGGGTGCGATCGAGCTGTTCATTGCGTGTTGATGTTGCGTGTTGCGTGTTGGGGGTTATGTGTTCTGTTTGAGGTTTCGGCGTTGCGGGATGTGGGTTGGTTGCGAAGTGTGAAGCAAAGAAGGTGGATGAGAGAAGGGGATTGAAGTATAGAAGCGTAGGCTGTGTGTAGGGCAACGGGAGTGATTAGGGGCAACGGGAGCCAGAATGTGAGTGGTGTTTTCACAAGCTGTGTATTGGCCGACACACAACTCACTAGTTTCAATGACTGGTGGGTGAAGGTGTCTTTTGAAAATGTGACGAGAATTCCCCACAAGTATGGAGTATAGAAGCGAAACCGTTGTAATACTGGTTGTTGACGGGAAGGGCAGGCTACTGGCGACTGCTCACAGAGGTGCCCAGTGTTCTCTCATCCGATCCGAGCCAGGAACAGACGGTTGCAAAAGTTCTTCATCAGGTCCGAGCCGGTCACGGACGGGTCGGTCCCCGTCCGACGGTGGTGGACAGCCGTCCAAGTCACGGAATACGATTCGGCTGTTGATGATTTCTTAGCACTGATATCCTACGCCTCACCGCGTCAGCAGCACATACCTCACCGCTCCGCAAGCTGTGCGAAATTGCAGCATTCTGACTCGGACGCCTAAGTTGCGACGTCCTGTCCCTACCACAGAGCCCTAAGCACCCTATCTCACTCGGACACTCAAGTTCCGCACCCGAAATCAGGTTTTGTCCAAGGCGTAGCAGACTGCCATCGACGGCTGGACCGGACGACGGAGAACACTGGTGGACGGTCTACCCCCGCTGGGCTCCCGAGTCTCGTAGTCCAGCACCTCTACTGCATCCTTTCCCACCGTAAAGGTAGCATAGCATCAAGAATGACGAGGGATAGTGGTTGGCGGGATTACGTTCGACATTCCGTCCTTGTCAAAAACGCCCCCTCCTTTCTGTCCACTTCCATCACTCGCCATGGTACTCATTGTGGCTGTTGTGATATCTCACTCGTTGCTCAGTCGCTTACGCAGAAGATCCTGTGGACGGAGGTGCGAAAGAAGACTGGCCGAGGGAATGATAGGTTTAAAATTAGGGACCTCTTTGCCAATCAAGATTGCAGCAAGGCCGTCCTCTACTTCCTCACCACCACAGATGTGGGCCGGCGGGTGCCCCCTTTGGGGTAGAGCCACAAGCATTTCCGAGCTTGACCTCTCTGACTTGGCAGCGGCAGCGGTGGATCCCACCTACCCCATAGCAGGAGAAGAGAGAGAAGGAGCGAGAGCGGCGGCAGCGGAGAGAGTAGCAGCAGCAGAAGAGAGGCGACAGGCTTCCGGCATACGCGAGACGAGATGAGGCGTTAAACAGGCGGGAGGAGTTGGCCAGGGAGCTGTGAGGTAGGGTTTTGAGAAAGACTGACGCTTTTCCTTTCCATTCCAGTTTGTCATCTCATTTGGTCTTCTCTCTTTCTGTCTTTCCCTTTGTTATGCGTGGATGGGCCGGGCGGAGGGCAATAGGAAACCCACATCGAGCTCGCGGCCAGCGGTCGGAGAAAGTGGGGTGGAACCGGACGTGTATACAGCCATGATCTTCTAGGGTCGAATGCTACGATGATGAAACAAAACAAAGTTCGTCGCAAACCTCATGCAGGGTCCGTACTACTATAGTGTAGAACATGCAGATACGCGCGATAAACCACTATGGAGAGAGAGAGGGAGAGAACATCGATTTATTATCGCATACGGCCTTAGTAGGTAGATCATCGCAGTCGAATGCTTTGGATATCACTCGGGTTCTTGCATATCTCGGTCCGGATTGGACACCGTTCTACACTACAGCATGTAGCTACGGAACAGGAGAAAAGGAGAAGGGTGGAATAATGGAAGCAACAGACGGGAGACAAGGTCATTGACGAGTTGGGGGCGGTGAGCGGACGAGAGGGGGTGGTAGGTAGAGTCCCTAGGGTACAAGTAATGAGGCAAACCAGCATTTTATGGTCAATGAGGTTGCAAGAAACACCATCCTAAAATAAGTTCACTCAATTAGTGAATGGCGTGAGGTCCAAGATGTCACATTAACGGAGACGTCACTCAATGCAGCATAATGATGAATGCGACAAGACGTAGAGGCGCTGGGTTTTGAGATGGTATTGTTGCAAAATGCGATATTTTGAGTAATTTGCAGTGTTATCAAATCGGTTACATTCATATGTGGTACTATATACGGCTTATTCTCCTATGCCTTCCTCTAGTTACGCCGCAGCACCGCCCTCTCCCTACCGCGGATAGCATACTCTCCTTGCCGCTGTCCTTGCTGTCCTTGCCTTGTCCTTTCATGATGTCCTCGCTGTCGGTTCCATCTCTTACTATGCAGTCCTACACTCGAGTCAGCTCAATCTCACTGCGGATATCACTGCCATCTCACCACAGATACCACGCTCTCGTCGCTGTCCTCGCCTGTCCTCCTATGCCATCCTACAAAATCAGCCCAGTCTCGTAGCGGATACCACACTGTTGTGGAAGTGATTGAGCAGCTGTCTGTGAGAGGAGGAAGTGGATGATGCAGAGATGGAGCAGGTAGCGAGGGGAGGAGCTGTCAGCGAGATGAGGAGCTGTCAGCGAGTAGCAAGAAGGGCTATCAGGGGGGGGAGCAGTTGTCAACGAGGAGGATAAGTTCTCAGCGAGTAGTAGGAAGAGCGATCAGGGAAAAGGAGGAGTGGTCAGCGAGGAGGACTTGTTGTGAGAGGAAGAATTGATTGAGGAGATATCAGCGAGGGGAAGGGGGACTGTCATCGAGAGGAGGAGTTGCGGGGGAGGGGAGAGTAGGAGCTATGGTGAGAGTAGGAGATACGTCAGGAGTAGCAGTTGCGGCGGGTGTGGGAATAGCTTGCGGCGGGAGTAGGAGTAGGAGCTATGAGAGAAGAGGTATCAGCAGAAGTAGTGGTAGCAGTTGCGGTGGGAGTAGCAGTTGCAGCAGGAATAGCAGTTGCAGCGGGAGGAGGAGTTGTGATGGTGATGAAAACAGGAATAGGAAGCAGGAGAAGAAGAAGAAGAAGAAGAAGAAGAAGAAGAAGAAGAAGAAGAAGAAGAAGAAGAAGAAGAAGAAGAAGAAGAAGAAGAAGAAGCAGAAGCATACGGCCCCGCCATGGACGCTAGCGTCGACTCCCGCCAACGTTGATGCTCCCCACTAACCACATCCGCTTCCTGGCACAGATACATCCTCCTCCTCCTGCTTCTGCCTCCTTCCGCCGACAGCTCCCTCGCTGGACCCTAATAATCTTCGGGCCGGCCGGACTATTCCCAAGTCTGGCCGTTTGCAAGTCCATTGTGTGGTGGCAGACGAGAGTAGAGGTTCAAGATCAACTATCCTGTAGATGATGGTGATGACTAGAGAGAGAGAGGAGGTGGAGGTTGAACGTGTATTCTGCAGACGAGATGAAGATGATGAGGGAGAGAGAGTGAGATGAGACCTGTCGGACAGCCTTCAAGTTCGCTGCCTGCCCGCTGCCTGTCCGCTGCCTGCCCGCTGCCTGCCCGCTGCCTGCCCGCTGCCTGCCCGCTGCCTGCCCGCTGCCTGCCCGCTGCCTGCCCGCTGCCTGCCGAGTTTGCTGCATTTACTAGCAATAATGCATTTAGCACGGTGCGTATCTGTCACCAAATGAGGAGCACCTCATGCTGCGACATTTCGGATGCAGTCAATGAGTGATTCACTCATTCCTTGTACCCTAGGGAGTGCGGACATCCAAAAACACATCTACCCCACTTTCTCTGGGCTCAGCCTTCTTCTTCGGCCGTTCTTCGCCCGCCCTTTCCCCCTCATCGTCGGGCAGTAAGCCTTCATTAGCCTCGCCCCTCGGCCCGGATGTGTGCTCCTTCACACCATGTCACCACGCACCAGGCCCGAGAAAGGCCTACCCACCCACAACAAAATCCCAGGATCGAGCGCCTGGCTCACCGTCACACCTGCCAGTTGAGCCTCCCGGACCACCCCGCTCTGCCGAACATTACCCCGCTTCCTTCTGAGTAATACCCCGCTTCCTGTGTCTATTGGTGACACGCGGACTCTGCGCGTGTCAGCCGCACAGATGTACTCCCTGGGTGAGCGTGCATACTGCTGCCCGTTCTATGTCTTCATTGGTGAGCGCGGAGATCGTTTGGAAGGCGAATACTCGCTGCCGCATCAGTCATGACATGATCCGGCGACTGTTTATGCACGTTGTTGCGCGAAACGGAGCAGGCGAGCCGACACGCATCGGTAGCGGAGCAAACTGGAACATGTGATCTTGCGGTGATCCTACATGTGTATCTGTGTATTCCTCGGTTCCGCAAGTACACTGCTCGGCCTGCCGAACAATTGGTATGGAGAAGTTGTGTCATGCATTCGCGCAATGGCTGATCCACTGTGCCATACGAGTAGATCCAGTCGCCTCTATCCGTCGCCGGTCGATCTCTATCCGTCGCCGGTCCCCGCTACCCGTCGCCGGTCGCAGCTGTTTATTCTTTTCCACCACCACCCGACCGGCGCCGAGCCGAAGCATCTCCACTTCCCCCGCATTACGCGCAGACAGAGACTCGCTAAGCCCTGCTTATCGTGTGCGGAAACATCCACAGAATCTACATAAACCTTTCCCCCCCCACGTGTATGCCATATCAAGCTGCATATAAACCGAGCGCTGCATCACGGTTTCGATGAGCAACCGTTGGAGAGCCTCGCGTGCCAGCAGCTACCGAAGTGAACCCGAATCTGAGGACGCAAGCGCGAGTATTCCTTTATTGGCGACAAGTGATAGTGGTAAAACGAATCATCCTCAGAACATCTACCCTTCCCATTGCACTCAAAGTTCTTCATCTCGCTGACAATGCATAGACCATCTTGCCTTCTCATCAACCTATAAGCGACACCGCTCAACCAGTGCCATGGCGAAAAGCCAGGATGAACCCGAGGCGACTGCCGGGGGTGACGACCTCCCCGACTCCGGGACGTCAATAACAGGCTTGCTGATATACAACCTGCAAAGGTGGAGCCGCGAGCGCTATCCCGGTGCGGCCTTGTTCAACTTTGGGACATTCCTCCTTCCTGCTATCTACGGCACGCTGTCGAAACTGTGGGTCTCGCAGATTGATAGCTCGCTGGTGGCTACGACCGACGTGTGTACGTACGTGTTAATTGCTTTTCCTCTGATCGATCGTTGTTTATTACACCATCACCATCATCATTGACAGCTCAAGTCAATAATACCCACTGGCCGTATGTCGTATGTAGATACATTGGCGTTTTCGCCGAAGTCCTCAACGAGGGCCTCCCCCGAGTTTCCTACCTCATCATCGGCGACCGCTCCTCGCGTACCATGCACTCACGCATCCAGCTCTCCAACACGCTCATCGTCTTCCGGACGCTTCTGGGCCTGATCATGTCGATCGTATTCGCCACGTCGGCGACGCGGTTCGCGCAAACCTTCGAGATTATCCGCCCCGCGCTTCTCTCGATCATGTGCGTCCTCCTGATCGAAATCCCGCTGTTCCTGATCCTGACCTTCGCCGCCGTGCGGCCGTTCGCGCTGTACCTCTCCGGGATTCAGGCGGTAGCGGACGTAGTCCGACATACGTGGCGCACGATCGACTGGTGCTACATATTCTACGCGGTGTCGACACAGGCTTCGGCGATCCTGCTCGCGACCCTGCCCGAGCTGTATTGGTGGAAATCTTTCGCTTCGAATCTACTCTGGGACCGTGGGCCATTGCGATTAGTCGCATCAATATTACTGAGGATACGGCGTGGCGGTTTCATGCGGTTGTGTTTGGGGGGAGTTTGGTGCCGAGTGCTGGTGTTACCGCAGTGGTTGTCGGGTGGTGGTGGTGGTGGTCGTTCGGGAGGGGGAGGGCGAGGCTCGGAAGGTGGGTGGCCACGTAGGTCGACGGTATGAGATGGAGGAGGTGGCAAGCAAAAGAATAATGATTCAATCCACATATATTCGTACGGTCCGCTGTGCGCAATGTCGCCGCCAGTCAGGTGTCTACCATGACAAAATGGAATCGATACCCGGCCCGACGATACCACCAAATCACACTCATGGCAATTTCTAACTCAACAAGACAATAGAAAGCTTGGTATATCAGCCCTTCGCTTCCAGAAAGGCAGTCACTCTCCGTGGAATCGGCTTCCTCGATCTCCTCCCTCCGCGTCTCGGTGAGGGCATCTGCTAGGCAGGGTTCTTCAAGTTCTCACTCTGGCCGGGCCTCCGCCGGGTGTCTTGTGAGTTTCTCGTAATATTTCATGCATTCTTTCCTTCAGCTTCTTCCCAATGTGTTCGATTGGGTTCGTGCTATCATGTGAGTTGACGGGCCAGGTCACGTCCTTAGTGATCAATCATCAATGTAGTTCTCCCGACGATCGGACGAATCTCGTGGGTGCGGCGGGTTTTGTAGCGCGCGAGAAACGCGTGAATTGTGGACTGTGGACTTGGGATGGGTTAGACTTTAAAGATTTGGATATTTGGGATAGCGGGAGATTTTGTGATGGAAAGCGAGGATCCGGAACTTCTACAGGAAGGACAGGTGGCCAGACGTGGTGAAGGACTTCATCGTGGTGGGGGTGATGGTGATGGTGGTGCTGCTGCTGCTGGTGCGAGACATCATCGTCGTGGTGGTGGTGAGCGCGGTTGGAAGGAGTGGGTGTTGCAGTGGCGGGGGAGGCGCCGGTGAGGCTGAGTACCCAATCCTGTTTGTTCTGGCCGAATGGCGAACCGTCAGCTATCATCTGAATACATGTATATAGAGAACCCACTTCTGAGATGAGAAGAATAATAATTAAGACTTTCTTTCTTCATATTCCTACATTTCACAGATCTGGTGGCAGACATACAGAATGAGGCGGACACATCGAGCGAGTAGAAGCCTCCATGGAGCTCAACTACGATGACGGCACGCTCAGGGGCAGTGCGCTGGCGAATTACGTCCGGGAAGCCATGGAAATCGCTGGGTTCATTCTTCATACCGATGATGTGCCGGAGACGTTCGGCAAGGATGCCAGATTCGTCGGTGTCGAGGTGCACAACAATGAAGCAACGTTAGGCGTCGGATTTAACTTTTCGCGCTAGTCAGCACTAGGGGCGGGAAGATCACTTTCTATACCACTCTTGTTGCCGATATCTATCATAGTATCTTCTATCAGAAGATCATTCGGCCAGAAAAGAGTTCTAAGCTCAACGATTAGATTATCCGATAGAACACAGATATCGACTCGATGAGTACGCTACATTGTACCTATTGCGTCGTCGGTCTCCGCTGCGTCTACTGGATTAGGATCAAGGGGACATCATCTTCGCCCATCCTTTTGTCCGTCGTCCACCTTCGGCACTGGCACTGGCGCCTGGTATGCTAGTAACTACGTGAACGGCTTAGACGGACGATGTTTTCCCCGGCACTCGTTGCCGACTAAGTAGCACGGTGCGTACCGGTCAGCAAGCGCTGTCAACACTGCGGAAGTGCTAGCAGGGATGGAAGGAAAAGTTATTCCAGTTCCTACGTCAAGATGCAGCGTAGGCACTTTAGGTAAGGCGAACCTTGAGCAACCCGGCACTAAGCGTCGGCACTCGGCAGTCAACCGACCGGTCCGTTTTGGACCCAGCACGAATGTACTCAGATTATATCTGCGTTCCCTCACAGGACTCTATCAATATCATTTGTATTACACCCCATCACTGTACGGTAATCACAGTTGTGGTTGAATGACAACCGGTGATGCCGGGATTTTCCTTGATCTCCTTGGGGTTATTTCAACTTCACATTCGGCAACGACTCTCGACACACACGTGCGATCACCAGAGGCCCGGTCGTTGGGAGGAAGATTCTCTACAAGCGCCTAATCCTCCTCACAGGGAACATTCTAGAGCATCATCTCTGTGTTTAGTCAACAATCGATATGTAGTCTTTCATGCAACTTTACCAAGATCTATAGCTCAGAACTCTCACTTCCGTACAGAGCCGAAGAACATACACAACTCCAAGAAGCGGTGGTTGGAAAGACCTCCGGCCAATTTGCGCGCGCTGTGATGCCTCTAGCTTCTGCAAAGGAACGGTGATTATCGAGCCCTGCTTTTGACCCGGCATCTGGAGGCAACCAGTAACAAAACTGCGCGCCCCGAGATGAGCCGGAGATGGGCGGGATTTTAGCTTGAGCTACGCCTTTAGCTTCATCTACAGCTCTAGCTTGATCCACAACTTTAGCTTGATCTTCACCTAGGTACCTACGCTATATCTTCTGTCGGCGCAGTCTGTCGGCACCGAAAGACTGCGCCGACAGCCCTCAAAGAAGGGATATAAAGACACCTCCTGTATCGGTTACTTATCCTCACAAACCACCACTGCAGACCTCCTCGAAGAAAACACCGCGACTAATCACCACCACCACGACTACCAGCACCACCTCACTCTCCCCAAGCCATGAAGCTCCTCTCCATCGCTGCCGCAGCTGCCATCCTCACGGTCGCCTCGGCCGCACCCCCCACCCTCAGCGCTCGCGCCGGCAACAGTGCCACCTGCAAGTACACCGATTCCTCGGCGTCGTTCACGCTTCTCGACTTAAGGTTCGAGCTTCGGGGGCGTGGGTCAACGACTGGGGCAAAGGGTTCCTGGACAACCTGCACGGGCGGTGCCGGAAGATCACGAACTGGACTTTCGACTACCCCAACGGCGTTGGCAGAGCCAGGTTCGCCGCATCGAGTCTGCTCAAGGCGGGTTGCGTCGAGGATGCTATCTGGCTCGCGAGCAAGCCTACTGGCGCTATTAGAGGCGTGTCGTGCTCTTACCAGAATCCACAAGCTTCCTTCCCTAACAACACAGCGATACCACGTTCTATGCTACTAATAAGACATTCGCTTGTAAGCAGCTTGAAGAACCCTGAATGCTGGTAGAAGTATTCAGTCCTCTGCCGTAACTTTTAGAACGACGGGATCATGAATTCTAACGCTCATCTGGACAGAAGTAGAAAACCGTCCTCCACTTTTGAAGCGGGCCGCGGCGACGAAAGCACGGAGGATTTTTTGCGAGCAGTGTAGATTTCCATCTGGGGATGAAGATCGTGATGAACAGTAGTAGTAGGGTAGTGGCAGGAAGATTTTTGTGCTGTTACGGGCCTGGATATCGCTATCGTGGTAGGTGATACGAAATTGTGCGATGAAGTTCCATCCGTACGAGGACCCCACCGACTGGGATAGTTTCCGCTCACGTTGTCGTTTCTAAGTAATTTAGCTATTATCTACCCTGATAGTAGCTGACTTTCGTGGTAGTTCCTACGTTTCCTCATAAGGCCACCTCGCCCCCTACTTCCATAGCGTCCCCCGCTATTTGGTAGGCAACGTTCCCCGAAGTTCACTGTTCTGTAGGTACTGCACATGGATACGACGGTATTCATCTACGCACAAGAAAAAGGTGATTCTTGGTCCACATTTTGCAGTGATGGCCCACCAAATCTCCCTCGGCTAGTACGCAGCGCCGCTAGACCTGAGCGACTCCGACAACTCCGGCTTGGTTGTCTCCTACTGCCGATACCTCCGGAGATACAGTACAAAATGTACACAAGATCAACAAGGGTTACCAGCATCTTCGGTCGGTGTAGAGGTTCGACGCCCCTGTTGTTGCCAGTTGGCAAACTGCAATGCGTGTTCAGCTGCTTTTCTGACGCCGTGGAGTTCTATGTCGTACACTCCAACTTGCGTGCCTGGGGGGAATGTACCTGGTATCTTCCGTGGAAGGGGGCGGCTGGGTTATTGACGGAGAGGTAGGCTGCACTAGCTTTGTCGTCAGGATCGATTCATCGGTCAAGTAGTAGGTTTCGGGCTTTGTCAGTTGCTGCTCCGATCAAATTCGTGACAAAGGCTTCCATCACCGGCGGATAGTCTTCTGTGAGGTACTACCCGATTTTTGAAGCTTCCCCGATACCACTTATAAGGGAATGAGAGGATCATGGTCAGTCGTGCGCAGAAAGGCTTGGTTGGAAGTGCTATTCCATCTTCACCATCTCCACTGGTCCTCTGTGCTGAGGCTCAGTTCATACACAACGTACCTCGGTTAACGAAATACGTCTTCTGCCACCCTCACTATGTCCCTGTGATGAAGTCCGAGTTCTCTGCCCAACCATCTGTCTGCTTCGAGTTTCCGCTACCATATGGAAGGCCAGCTTTTGGACACAGTCCCTCACATATCGGCCCTTATTACCAATAGACTACATACAAATATCCGTCATTGAATATCCTGCGAATGCATGCTTTATCGGTTGGGGGAAATTGTAGTAGTTGTACGTCAAAAAGCACTAGTTAGTAGGGAACGTACCGGTATTTCTCCACACACCGGGCCGCATCTCCTTCAGAACACAGCAGCACTACCATGTGGCAGATTGCCGCGCAGTAGTCCAGCAGCATATCCGCTGCAGAGTTGCGGAGTGATTCCCGAGATCAGGACCGGCAGATGTGACGCACGGTGGCGACTGACCGCGGGCAAGCCGAAACGAAACGGCGAAAGAAGACAGCGCGCATTGGACTCGCTGCCGGCCACTACTACCTACTGGATAATTAATTTATGCAGACACTGTATATAAGCGAACTTTCCCCTCCACGTTCCTCATCATGCGCGGTTCACTTGGGTTCGATGAACCGTGGGATATGTTGGCCCAATCGCACACACGACCAGGCGAGCCGGGGAGAAACCCCGTCTCCAATGCCCTGTGTGTATGCACACATGCGTGCTGCTCCCAATCGATACTGAACGGGGATGCCGATGGACGGGTGATTTTACCAACTGGTTAGCCCCTTTTATCGCTGTGGCTGGTATTTCGGCGGTAAGTAACTACATGTCGCGTATGTACTCTACATACCTGGCTGTGCGGAAAAGCTGCACTCTCGCCAAACGTCGTGTGCAAGGGGACCTTTCTCTGGACGTCAACCCTACTATGTAGTACTGCCGAAGGGGCCTGCTCTCGATGCTGCCAAGCGCAGGATCAACCAAGCTAAGTACTTACAGTAAGAAGAAGCGATACTTTTGCGATTCCTACATATCGGTACCAGCTGAAACCCCAGCAGATAGGTAGCAGATTTACCCGGTGTTTTGGCGGAGAATACTACCAGCGAACCACCCGAGTCCGGCGTCAGCCCGAGCTGTGATGAATTGTGTCCAAGCTTTGATGGATCCAGCACTGTGGCCTTTGACATCAGGATCGCACCTCCTTCTGCAGTAGCTGTATTTACATCTCTATCTTTCTTTTTTTCTTTCGTCCTCGTCGTTCGTTACTGCTACACGAGAGTACTTGCTACTTGCATGATTACTTGAAGTACGACTTACAGAAGTGCTTGGCTGGTCGCCATGCGGTGTGGACTCTTTTTTGTGGGTTAGGGTTCCCGGTGCTCACAACACCATTATCATTGTTACCAGGTAGTACCTATTCACATCTCAGTACATCGGTAACTACTGTACGCACAGGCTGCGTGTCACCTTCCGCCTGTATCAACTTCGCCAACGCCGGTATCACCATATTGAGGTGTACTCGACGCCGACCTCTTGCGAGGACAAAATGCCTATTCCAGTATGTACGATCCCCATCATCCGCTCAATGTGTAGCATGTTACGCATAGTATGTTGAATTCATTGGAAGAAAAAAGACAACAGCGAGCGGTGAAGAAGAACTGGCAGTAGTGGAGATTATTCTGGCACGACGACATGGTACTGCTCTGTGCCGGCGGAGTGCCACCTTGTTCAACAGACCCCACCACCGGCCGGAGTTAGTCAGTGAGTGCGAATCGATGCATTTGCAGGAGCCCTTCAGCATAGCTCGGACCGGAGGCTAGATGTAGCCAGTGTTGGGACTGAGGTCGCCATATCCGTAACCGATGCGCCATTCCTGCCGGTGCGTGAAGGTTGACGGTGATATGGCCACGCGACAGGATTAGTAGATGGTAGTGCAGAGCGCCGGGGAAGGAGGGGCAATGGGATACGGATAGATGGATGAGCGGCATGAAGTGTGATCCGTTTGGAAATACTCGGTACTGTACTTACGGTCTCAAGGGAGGGCAAGAATCGTGGAGTATTAGTACGGTCAGAAGACGTGGGTTTGGGGTCTTGATCCGATAATAGCAACATCATCCGTCCAGCAGAAAACCTAGTTTTTGGTTTACCTTTCCCTCGGACTACACTGCACGTACCCACCGAGGGAGTAAACGTTACCCATCTGTACTTACACCTTTGCTGTCAGCAACTCGCTCTTCATTTGATCCGATGGAGCCGCTCCTCCTCACATGTCACATAACCCTCATTTTCCCACTTCCTTCCGCAGGATTTCCGAATCGTCAAGACTATGGAACACGCAGCAGGCAAAGGACTGCAACCGTGGACCTTCCCTCCTCGGATGAATGAGTGTTTCCTATGCCCGCGGCCCCCACCTGAGCGCATATTGAAAGTTGCAGATGGCCAGACGGCCAAGCCGATGGTTGTCGGCGTCTGCACCGGCTGAGTAGAGTAGGCAATATAGCGACCTCGTACGGACATTCCGCTGCATGATATATCACTATATACACCGCCAGCCCGTCTTGGGAGCTGTCCTGGAGGGGTATAAGTATCCAGCCACCTCGCGGCCAGAATCTGAATACTCCCCCTCATCAACATCAACAAACTCCTTCTTCTCTACTCCACAACACAGCCATATCCACGCCTCACAATGCAGTCCTTCACCGCTCTCATCCTGCTCCTCCTCCCGTTGACGCTCGCCGTCCCCTCGCCGCAAGCCTCCTCGGCCCCGATCGTGCCGCCCAACCCGTGCACGACCAAGTGCGTCACCACCTACAAGTGCCCAACCACCTGGCCCGACTCCTGCTACTGCTACAACAACGCGGTCGCGCTGTGCGCGAGGCAGTGCAAGCAGGAGCCCCTGCCGACCCCCAAGGACTGCACCGTCAAGCCCTCCGATTGCATGGTCAAGTGCGAGACCGTCTGGGAGTCGACATACAACTGCACCGCCATGCCGTTCCCCGATAGCTGCTACTGCAAGAATAAGGGCACCACCGTGTGTGCCGAGCAATGCAAGGAGAAGGCACCCGTTTTGCCCCTGTGCGCCTAGATTTAGTCGCGGTTTCGGATGGGTTTTGTGGTGTGGTGGCGGTCGTCGTAGCCACTCCACCGGACATCTGGGAGGGATTGTGTGGTTGTTGGTCGGGTATGGGCGTGGTGGGAGGTTTTGGGGGACATTTGACTGCGGAAGTTGTGGGTATGAGGATGCTGGGAAAATATTATGTATAAGAAGCAATCGAAAAACACTTGGGTTGTCTCACTCTAGTCTATCCAATGGTGACGAAGTTGCTGCCGTTAGTTTTGTCGCTTGTGCTCAGTCCTCTATGACGGATTTCAAACAAACATTGTGTGGTGAAGATGTGAAAATACACTCTGTTTACACAGCAGTAACCATGCCGACTTAGAGAGCCTCTAAAGAAACGCTTCTGCTGTTATTGGCTACCCCGGAGTCACCTGACCGGAGAGCAAGCAGTAAGTGGGCGTCCCAATCGATGACCGATAGTGGTCATCAGAAGCCACCAGTAGACCACCAAGGCGTTGCGTTCAGCGGATCCTCGAGGTCAGCTATGCAAAACAATGGTAGTCCGATAGTCTTACCGATTTAATTCTATGCATAAGATTTTCCCACCGGTTTCGCCGTCGTTCGGGGCATGTATTTATCGTCTTTTCGGCACTGGTTCCGCCCGGGCGACGCACTGGGATCGGGCCGGATTCTGGCGATGCAGTTGTGATAGACTCTTTGGGCTTATCATCATCTCAGAGATCCGGTATGACGCTTGGAATCTAGCTAGGTAGCAGGTATGCGACTCCTAGGCCCACTCCAATTCGGTAGTGAATTCGCCTTCGTTTTGGCATCACTCGGAATGCTGAGAGGTCCGTCCACTAGGCCAGCCGCGCGGTTAGATTAAAGATTAGATCCGTGGCTCTTGAAACAATAGGTAGTAAGTAATTGCATAGCGATCGGTCGGCCGCGTGTTGTCTGTCACGATACGTGGTTAGGGTGATATCAAGATGAGAGATGGATAAGGTTGGAGTGATAGATCAGATGGGAGATAGGCGATAAGGGGTGCAGGATCAGAAGGCGCAGAATACGCTAGAGCCAATCGGGCTAGCCTCATCTGGCTGGAGGAGCCATGACATGGCTCTCCGAGCAGTAGTAGAGGACAAGTGAAGTGCTTCTATCATGTTTCTCTCTATCTTTCGAGTGTCCGCCAGGAGCATATACCGAGTTCATCACCACTGCGGCTTCGACCACTAACCTGTAAGTATTAATTCGCGTCGCGATAGACGACAGCGATGACGGAAAGACCCCAATATATGGGAGCTTCGCACGCAAACATCGCCATACTGGATATATTTTGTAGTGTCAATGTGAATCAGCGATAACCCAAGTTGAACGCCGCTAGTGGAGAATCGATAGAGTACACTGTATGTACTGAGAGGCGCGAAGGAAGAGGCGGCCTGGTGTCATCAGTGAGCACCGGAGAGAGGAGACCTTGTTGGGACTAGGGGAGACCTGGTCGGACCTATGTGTTTTGGAGGTGGGACCCGATGCGGATCCGATGCGGTCTTTGAACTTTGAATTGTTTCTGTTGTCACTATTTCTGTTCTTCCTGTTCGTCGTTCGATCTTTAATTACACACCTCTTGTGCATCATCATCGATCGAGAATTCTAGTGCACATCGATCACGTTTTTGCTCCTCACCTATTTTTTGCATCTCTCGGACTTCAGTACGTTGCTAGTAGTAGCTATGACTTCGCGGTAAGGATCAGTAGTTGTGTCTTTGGACAGCCGTTCTTTATCTGCATGTATCTGGATTCTGTAGGTGCATCCAATAAGCTCCCGTACCAACTGTAAAGGATTTCGGTATCATTGGCCATGGCGTTGTCGGCGTGGATGCGAAATTGCAAGGGCTGCTTCGTGCTCGTGCATGACTGGAGCCACACAACTCGAGACAAATATGCAGGATCATGCCCAGCCGCACCCATCAAGACTCGCTCGAATGGTGTGAGGACGTCGGAGCATTTGGAAGGGGCAGTGGGGCGGCACATTGGGGGGGGGGGGATACTGGGGAATTATTGTCTGATAAATGTAGGCTTGCCACCCAGTCCATTCGGCGGCCAGTCCTTGCCGGTATCGAACAGACACACCCTCGAAGCTAGCAAAACATACAGACCACCGCGAGATGCATGCCGATCCCGAGACTCCCTCAGCAGCGCGACCGACAGCCCTGGCCACTTGCTCCGATTCATCACCAACTCAGTGGCAGTCGCAGCAGAGGTTCGAAACCGAAATCGAAATTTGTAACCAGCCTGCTGGCCCCACCGCCAGCCGCAATCTGACCGGCAGCAGAATTTTCGGCGGCCACCGCACATACCAGGCCGGATCCATGAATAACGAGTTCAAAAGGCCGGTTTTCAATGGCAACCAGACCTTCATAGCTAGCGGGTATGTACTATCCCGCGTCCATGCCTGAAACGATGGCATCTCTATGGGATATTAGGCCCCGCTGATTGAAGCGATCCGGCAGATCAAATGGTATGGCAACCGGAAAAGGTCGGCTCGCAGGAATACGCCGTGATACGCCACTGACACTATGGCTAGGTTCCAGGAGGTCCGAGATCCTAGAGTGGATATCCGTAATCTCGTACACGGATCACCACGGGCGTATCAGTGGTAGTCGGCTACATGGTACTAGTGAGTGGATCTTATGGAAGACGGAGTACCGCATGTGGATTTCATCAAACCTTTCGATGTTGTTACTGCTGCGGGGAATTCGTAAGTCTGAGCCACCCTATTTCGTCGGGGGGTAACTGCTCGTCTTACTTGCTCATCTACTAGCTGGGGCCGGCAAAACATACATCCCATCGAGAGTCATCGATTCCCACCTTTCGAGCCAGACGTCCTAGAAGTTAGCCTACTTCTACTGCAATCGAGCCGAGGAAGATCGCCGGGATCCCGCGAGCATACTGAGCGCACTCGTCCAGCAGCTTGCCTGGCAGACGTCGAAAGATCAAGAACTCTTGAAACCGATCATCGATATCTAGGAAGAGCGAGAGAAATCTTGCCAAAAGTCCTCGCGGCTGCGCCTCGCCGAAAGTCAGGAGCTGCTCGTTAAACTCACAGATACATGTCCTGAAACGACTATATGCATCGATGCCTTGGACGAAGTGGAATCCAAAGTCCGCTTACAATTACTGAAGTCGCTGAAGCATGTCATGGAAAAAACCAAGAACCGGGTCAAGATCTTTGCAACAACTCGGATGGACACCGACATTCTTGTGTAGTTTGAGATGTTTCCGCGGATCGAGTTACAGCCCGACGACAATGCCGCTGACATCAACCGGTTCATACAGACGATTATTGAGGCTGCCATCAAAGATAAGAGACTACTTGACAGTGATATCTCGGATGAGGTTAAAGGCGAAATATGCGACGCTCTTCGGGAGCGATCCAAGGGAATGTGAGTTCGTCGTGACTGCTTCAATGCTGAAGAGCAAGTGACTGACGGCATATCGCCAGGTTCCGACTAGGTGCGCTTCAGATTACCGTTCTCTGCGATATGTCCACTAAAAACGAAGTGAGACGCAGTCTGGGGTCCCTTCCGAAAATACTGGCCAACGCCTACGCCGAGATGTACGAGCGCATTCTCGGCCAGCAAGGTAGCGCTCCCCAACTAACACTCAGGGCGTTCCGGTGGATCCAATGCTCATACGAACTGAAACGAACCGAAACTTTGCTTGATGCGATCATGGTCGACGTTGGCGGCTCGGGTGAATTCGCCCACGACGGCACGGTATGGGCAAAAATATTACTGAAAGCCTGCCAGAACTTCCTCATCATGGACGAACGTTCAAATGTGTTCCGATTCGCACATCTTTCCGCGGATGAATACCTCGAGACTCAGCTGCTCAAGGTCGATTCTCACACTGAGATCGCAAAAGTTTGTCTTTCACTGCTGACATCGGCGTCTTGGGACGACTATGACATGCATATCTCAACTCGGGAAGAGCGCTACAGTGACCGCCACCTGTTGTTGTACTCGACTGTCTTTTGACCGTGGAATTTTTTGGGTTGCGGGGACGCAACCAACAGTCACGTTCTAGCTAGCCTGTGGGATTCGTTCGTATCAGCAACTAACTATACGCGATGGCTCGAGTATCATCGCAGCTGTTTCATAACCGACTCCAACAAGTGCGTGGAATCCTTCTGGCTTCGATATGCGGCTCTGCGGAAAGGCGGCGACCATCTTCTTTCCTTGGTCTGTATTTTTGGGTTGCGATGGAAGTGCTCTACCGTAATGGAGTCTGCACTGGAGTCTCTGAGGTCTGCTCACGAAACCGGCACGGGCCGGTTTTTCTGTTTGTTTGGCTTACGACGGATATTCATCGGCGTATTCCAGCCCAAGTCCAAGCGGAATCGTGTTCGCATGAACCGGTTACTGCTCCACGCCTGCACGTTTGGAGACCTTGATATCGTCCAGCTGCTGCTTGACGGGGAAGCCGACGTCCCGGCCGCCAACTGTTGGATACGGACGCCATTGCACGAGGCCTCGTCGGAAGGGCATGGGGCAGTAGTGCGGCTGCTCATCGGCCGGAGAGCTGATGTCTCAGCTGTCGACACGGATGGGCACACGCCTCTGCACCTGGCCGTAATGCTCGAGAATGAAGTCGTGGCACGGCTGCTTATTGACCGCGAAGCAGAAGTACCTGCCGCGAACACGGACGTGTAGACGCCGCTGCACTATGCCGCAAGTGGAGGGCATGAGGCAATGTTGCGGATGCTCCTCGATCGGGGACCCGACGTCTCGGCCGCCAACTATCGAATGCAGACGCCATTGCACGAGGCCTCGTCAAAAGGGCATGAGGCAGTCGTGCGACGACTCATCGACCGGGGAGCCGACGTCACGGTCAGCGACCGACACTCAAAAACGCCGCTGCACCTAGCCTCAAATCGGGGGCACCAGTCGGTAGCTCACCTGCTAGTCGACGCGGGGGGCAGACGTCACTGCTCTTGAATCTTGATGCAGATAGGCACACGGCGTTGAAGTCACTTTCTTCTTATAGGAAACGGGATTTCAGATTCGGTCATTGCATATGTTGCTCATCACGCAATGAACGGGAGGAATACGGAATCGGGCAGCGTGGAATAGGAGAGTTAAAATGCGAGTCTTCCACCGTGGTCAGGCCGAGGAGTGACGCGTCTGATCCATCGTGCCCGGTGGTGCCTGGGAGGGTACTTCGGAGGCAGGTAATGGGGAGGAAGGGGGGCGGGGCGCGCCGCTTTCAACGTGACCAGGCCCGGCGAGAACACGGTGTCTGACCTATCCGTGACGATACCCAGGAAGCATCTGCGAACGCCGGCGGAGCGGATGAAGGAAGGGAGGGGAGCGTTACTTCCGTTGTGACCAATGCATCGGCGTCCGAATCGTCCTTGGGGATGCCCGGCATGGGGCTGAATGGTTCGGTAGCTTCGGAGGACACCGGAGGCACCGGTGGCAGCTGTGTTACCCGGAGCGCATACCCGTACCCGCGAGCCATGGTCCTGGCCACCTAGATATCACCTGTATATAGACGAAAACACCCACCATCTTCATGCTCTTAAATTTTACAGTAGATAGTGTGTGACACTGTGACCCGTAACTTGCGCCGGAATATGATGGTTGCACAGGACTCCGTACGGATAGGTGGTTGACGTACTACTGCATCCACTGTTTCGCATGCAGAGGGGGCACACTACTGTAAACTTGACATTGAAATTGTCGGGCTTGGGAATGGGCGGACTATGGCTTCGGGTAGGCAATGAGGATGATGGATGCCCTCTATACATGTAGTCGATCGCAAAAATTTCACCAACTCCTTCACAAAATCCGCGCCAGCTCTCCGAAGACACAAAAATTCATTGGTAAGTGCCATACCCCCCCTTCTTCCGCTTCCAGGTTCGTTCCGTGACCGCCAAACTTTCACAGTCTCTCAATCAACACCGTGCATTTCCACCTCCTCCGTTTCCACTTTCTCCGCCTCGGCCTCCTTGCGGTTTTCGCAGTCGCTGCCGCCTCCGCGCGTATGGTCATCGGCATCCAAAATGGCTCCGACGGCAGCGCGACCTGGCGTCGGAACAGTCGACCGACCCATGCGCCGGGAGTTCCTTTCCACGCAGCCCACCAGTCCGTGCGCGTCTACAATCACAATCGGTAGAATCTGCGGCCTCATGCTCGAAGGCGGCGGTGGATCGTCGCTATGAATAGGAACAGTGACTTCTAGGTATGCCTACTGCTACGCTAAGGGCATCTCCACAGGTTCGTGCAATGGACGGAGTCGCTGGCGCGGGTGTTCATGATTGGGGCGAAGGAAAATTGACTGTCAATTGATGAATCACTTGAATATGCTCGCTACTTCGGAATCGAATCGATACACTAATTCTAATCTCTGGGGATCACTATTTACATTGGTAGTAAATGGACCTTTCTATCCCAGGGAATCAGACCCCGAGCCATTCCAACCACTCTGGCTTCGTCGTTCCCTCGTCCGAATACGGCCGCACATACAGCCACGCGAGACTCCCGGCGAGAAAGATTTCGTACATGGTCCCGCTATACGACAGCACCTTACATGCCGCCGGGCCATCCGGGAGGCTTCGGGCTCGCGGCGTGGAAACCGGGAGGTAGCACGCAAAGCCTAGCAGCGCACTAGCGACGACCCGGAATACCCACGTCCATTCCAACAGCCAAAACCCTATCATCGGTAGCCACATATAAAAGACGAATGTGTTTACTCTGAATCGATTATCAACAGCACACAGGTTGTTTATCGTAAGCACGATCAGAAACACCATGAGGTGGACGACCAGAAAAGTACTTGTGGGACCCTTGGGAGCTTCGCTGCGAAATTTGGAGATGGCCATGTAACACCCGTCGATCCCCGCAAAGAACCAGACACTCGAGAATGCAACGATGCATGCCGGCGCCCACCAAGCTTTGCCGACAATGTCGGACACATGTTCACGACATTCGGCCACACGGTCGGCGGAAACCTTTTGGTCCCAACGCACCAGTAGTAATAAAGCGATCGACAACTACGAGAACACGTACATGAACCCGCAAGCTACGAGGAACGGTACTCCCGAAACGACGCAGGGCTTGATGAGCACAAACACGACGGGGATCGTTGTAAAGATCTGAATGCGAAGGTGGTTGCGGGACTGGCTGTCGTAGTACTGTGTTTCCGCCGCGCGGGCATGGCCGGTGATGCTGTGGGTGTTTTCGCTGCGGTGGAGAAGCAACACGCCAGCTGTCAGGCGGTAGCCATGCACGCTTCGGGAAATTCGCCGGCGTATCGATGTCGCCGTCGACGATGGGCCGCCAAGTAATCCACTCTGTCGCCCATGAGGTGTCGTGAGAAGGCATATCACAATCATCACGCCCTCGATCGCGGAGGAGAGGGGCGAAAGTCGTCGCAGCCAATGTTCGGGCCCGCGAAAAACGAGCAATCCGTAGGGCTGTGTCAAGCAACAAAGCCACAGCGTGAGAATGGTTGAAATCACGTTTGCCTTGGTGAAAGTCGGAGGGTGGTGGCCTTTGGTCTCGTCCGAGTCGGTGGCGATGTCTCCCGCGAGGACGGTCGACAGGAATACCGACATGCCATCGAATGCCCCCCAAACAGGCGCATTTACAGCGAAGCGAGTGATATCCATTGATGGAAAGGCTATTACCGGAGAGATCTGCTCCTACCTTCAAGCTAAGTTGCCGTATAACCTCGGATAACAGTTCACTTTGTGGAATGAGTTTAGCCTTAAAGACGGATTAAGGGCGGCTGAAAGATACTCGATCCTCAAAGACTTAATTCGATCCGTCGTTAAGCTTGGGGGTTGGAGTGATACGAGACGAGCTGGGTGTTGGTGGAGGTACGTATGTACCGCGCTTCAGACCAGCTTTTGTCATCTGAGCAAAAGTGCAGTTACGCGTTGTGCCCAAAGTGTTTGTGCTTGGCTATTTGGCTGCTTTCGGTTGCCGTACATGACCTGCGCTTTTGGTTTTTGGCTTCGGTGAAGCAGCCATGCAAGCACATCCGGGGTTTGGGGCATTTCAGTGGTGACCAGGTCGGCATCCAGTGGTGGGGAGTATTCTATTCGGCAATCTCCGCCGGTAGGCGGGCCGTGGATGATCGTCCTCCTCATGCAGACTTCGGAAATGAAGTTGCGGGTGCGGGGTAACGAGACCTGTACCTGCCTCATGCTATCAGGCGCCTACGCCCCGGGTTTCCGACAAGAATCCCCACAACTCGGGTTCGAGATAAGCTTTTCATTCCCGCTAACGGTTTGGCCAGCCCACCCCAGGCAAAATATAGCAGTTCACAAATAGCCCATCCAAAAACTACCATGGGGATACTTATGCACGCCTATGCAGCTGCTCCGGACCGCGGACTTGAGCTAGCGACGGCTACAGCCGCTACACAGGTAAATCAACTGCCCACATGCTGCCCCTTAAACGCAAGGTAAAAAAAGCAGTGAATTCTGTCATTGTTTACCTTTGTTTATGCCGGTAACCGTTCATGTGATTGGCAGTACTGTTCGAGGACATCCATTGACGGGCTCATGGCTACCATATGACCGTGAACGAAGACTCATGATCTGAGCTGGGCGGCCTGTGCGGGTAGCGAGGGTTTTGTAGGAGCCCCGAAACGTCCCGCATTTGTGGCATCAGGCATTGATTAGGGCAGCCTGCCTAGATTCGAATCGGGTGTGTCACCCCCACCCTCGGAGCTATTACACCGATTGATGGCGAGCGGCTGCGGTACGTACTCGTACTCGTGCTCGTCAGTGAATTACTGATCCCACTCCGGTACTCTCCATGGTGGACGTGTTTACCGGGTCTGATAAACCGGGAACACGACGGTCAGGGGCAGCGAAGACGGGGAAAGTTTTGAAGTAGTACCTAGTGCCGGAGAGGATTTCTGGTTATATTTGCCGTTCCTCCGGCCACCATTTGTTGTTTTTTTCAGGGCACGCCTCCGGGTATTCCACTGGGTGCTGTATTCAGCCGAGGCGGTTGGGGTTGGGGTTGGCGAAGGAGCACCTCAACTTTTACTATTTCCCGTACACGATCGAGCGTAGCTGGAATATGGCGAAAAAGAAAAGAAGGAGCCGAATACTTCATCGGATCGGATGTGCGGCACCTCCTAGCACCACGTGATACAAAGGCACAAGAGATACGAAGAAGCAAGCAACTGTACGTGTGCTCGGCGCTGAGGCTATAGGCTATACTAGCACCCGGCCCGTGTGCTAATAGAACCGTCTGAGGTCTACTACATGGGTCCTTGTTATCATGGCATTATGCCAATCGTGCAGGGTCGCCGCCGAGTCGATTTAAACAAATGGGATTATGGGCGTGCAGCGGACAGCCACAGGGGGTGGAAAGCTTATTTTAGCTAAGGTGTGGCCGCCAACTTTGCTCCAGCGTTGGGTAGCGACGCTTCTGTGCAGACGAGTGCTACGACGGACCATGGCGCTGGGAATCATGTAGCTACCTACACCGGATCTCAAAGAAGAAGGAAGAGGTTATATATAATGCCGGCGTGTCGGGTGGTACACTCGATATACACACATCCCATCGGATGGCGAGAAGTTCCACCGTACGGACTGGTTCCCGAGGTACTCTACACTTTTCTGAGCTCATGGCACTACCGTGAGTAATCCGTTCCGCACATTCGACCGAATTGGAGAACGTCTGAATGTTTGAAGAGGTCCGTAGAAAAATATCTGGCCGCGGTGGTGATATTCTGTAGCGGCTGCGCTCGCTCTCCCCGTCCGCCCATCTAATGGCCACCAGGCCATCCGTTCAATCTCCAGCGATTTTCCCGATGGACACATTCCGCTACTATAGCCGGATATTGGTTTTTATCCAAGTTCATCAGCTGTTTCTAAATGGATCGATTTCGGCCGAGTTAGCCTCCCGATGGGCATTGAGTTTATCCGTCAAGGAATGAGGCCACAGCGTATATTACTCTTCTCACCCATGCCACCGGTAATGCCCGGCACAAGCTATGCATTTGCACGTTACGAACCCCTCTATGTAGCTGTTTGCGACTGTCATTTCCAGGGATTTTGTGTTTGAGTTGGGTGGCACAAGGACTTCATTTGATCGAGTACCTACTCCACTGCCGTCGCACGGGCCTGCCGGCACGATATCCGAGTTCATCATATAGGATCTCGCGTTCGGCACTGGCAATAACTCAGCCCGAGCCAATCGGATGTAAGATTCAGTGGCCTTCCAGTATTTCGCCAGCCCCAATTGCAAAGTACATATAAATCGTCAAATTTTCCGGTCTGTATTTCATTCTTCAGCCTACATAGACTGAAGCCGTTCTGTTCGTACATTCCCCACTCCTTTCGTTTAAAGAAAAAAACACAACAATGCGTTTCACTACTGCTATCGTCGCTGCCATCCTCCAGCTTGCCGCTGCTATTGCAAATCCAACAAACGTCGAGAAACGTGCTTCTTGTACGCTTACCAGCTTCAGCGACCTTGCTTCGGTCAAGTCCAGCTGCACTACCATCACCGTCGGTAATCTTGCCGTCCCAGCGGGACAGACTTTAGACTTCTCGGGCCTGATCAGCGGCACCAAGATAATCTTTACCGGCACCGTGACTTTCGGATACGTGGAATGGGAAGGCCCTCTCGTGACCGTCGGCGGAAGCAAGATCACCATTACCGGTAGCCCCGGCCACCTATTCAACGGTAATGGTGCCTCTTGGTGGGACGGCCTGGGTGGCAACGGCGGAAAGATAAAGGTACATACCAGCACAGCAGCCAACCATGTATGAATCCGATCTAACGATTGTCATCAGCCCAAGTTCTTCGCCGCTCGTTTGACCGATTCGACAGTTACCGGTCTCAACATCAAGAACACCCCTCGCAATTGCTTCAGCGTCAACAAGTGCACGAACCTGACGATCGATTCGGTGATCTTTGACAACCGCGATGGAGACGTCACCAATGGCGGTCATAACACCGATGCTTTCAATGTTGGCTCCTCCACTGGCATCACCATCAACAATGCCACGGTTTACAACCAGGACGACTGCTTGGCTGTCAACAGTGGAGAAAACATCGTCTTTTCTAACAACTACTGCTCAGTAAGGATTTCCCTGACATTTTTTTTTACCATTCACTCAAAGTTCTTACCTCTGACCCTAGGGTGGCCACGGTGTGTCCATCGGATCCGTCGGCGGCCGCACCGACAACATCGTCAAAAATGTTACCATCTCCGATACCAGTATCGTGAACTCTGATAACGGTAATCTCTCCACGCACTCACTAACACGTCGTCGTGTTGACATGATGAACCAGGCGTCCGTATCAAGACCGTCTACAACGCGACGGGCTCGGTTTCCGACATCACTTATTCCGGCATCACGTTGCTGAACATCGCCAAGTACGGCATCGTCATTCAGCAGGACTATGAGAACGGTTCCCCAACCGGCACTCCCACCGCCGGGGTCCCCATCACCGGCCTCACCCTGAAGAGTGTCAAGGGCACCGTTGCGTCGAGCGGTACCAACATCTACATCCTCTGCGCCTCGTGCTCCAACTTCTCCTGGTCGGGTGTGTCGGTAACTGGAGGAAAGAAGTCCACCAAGTGCCAGGGTGTTCCGTCGGGTGTCAGTTGTTAAGCGGCACACCGGCGAAGCGGCTTTGGTGGGGCCGTTAAAGACATGGCTGGTTGTGAAATAACTGTATCATATAAGAGAGAATGGGAATATATGTGTCGTTTCAATGAACGATACCTAGCCATTTCCGCTTGAAAACCGAGTTTCCGAGTGATTATTTGTGATAGTAGCCCTGTGGAAGGACGAGCACGCTCTAGCACCGAATGGTAGGGCTAGGCTGAAACTTGGCGGCACTAAGGGCTTAAACGGATGGGTTCCAGAGAATGGCAGATGCACAATAAGGGCAAGATATAATGAGAGTGCTACGGGTCTACAGGATCGAGTCGCCAATGCTCTTGGGCTGCTGTTCGTGGCAACTATCGTAGTCCTCCGTCGTTTGGTTCTCGGTCTATATTAAAAGCAGTTCTGACACAGGAACGGTAGCCGACTCGACGTTATAGATCATTTGACCTTCATGGGCTGGGAAATGGAAGCCATGAGAAGGTGGCATTGGCTTTGATATATTTGGATACCTAAACCTCCGACTCAGGATGTGGGAGATGACCGCGCAGGTTGCTGGAGTGATGTGGATGGCAGACGGCAGCTAAGTACAGGGGAAATACAGAAACCAAACCCAGCCAAATTTCCAAGATTCAACCGGCTAGTCGACTCACACTATTCAAGCGGTGCCATGTTCGGCGCCGGTAACCGCCCGCGGCGGACTACCGGGAACACTGGAGGATCCGCATGTTTTCCAATCACAGAGGTCCTACGTTACTTCACAAGCGGTTTTCGGTTGTCCGTATCGTGGTCTACACACTTCGCAGAATTGGCCATGTGTATGTGCTAGTCTCCAGGGATAACGCTCCCCGTCCCTGTTTTACCAGCGACCGGGTGGAGATGTCCCTCTTGTGCTGCGAGACTGTGAAGACAATCGAGGAAGTTCGCAGTGAACATAGGAAGAATTTCTCTCTTACAAATGTCCTTTAGGCGGTAACTAGCTCCATAAATACTTTCGAACGGAAAACAACAAACACGGATTGACGCATACCGAGTGACAGCAAGTGTAGACTACTCTCTATTACCAGATTATTGCTTTACGATAAGGCTTGACACTTGACACCCGTAGATATTTACTTACGTAGCTGCGAGCGTCCTGCGGCCGTATAATCACCAAAATACGGAATTTTCTAGAGATTTTAGGTCGGTCGGTGTCCTCGGTGAGTGAGGAGTCATGAGTGAGTTTGTAGCCAATCAGAACGTTCCTCTCTTGAGCGAGTGACACAATCTGCGATTTGCTTCCCAGTTAGTCGCATGGTTATGAATATTTCTGCAACCCACTAGGGACGACTACCATCACGCCCCGAGGCAGGCGGTTTGTCGTCAGCTATAGCACAGCTGAGAAACTAAGAAACAGTTTAGCACAGCGGCTCAAATGTTGAGTTTAGTATGTTCGGAATCAAAGCGCCGAAATTCACATGTGCAACAGTTGTCAGTATGTCCTCGCCGCGGTGGAAACAGGAACCTGCCGCCCTGAACTGGTAATGCTAACGTGATACCGCCACAGCGCCGTGCTTGGAAACGAAGCTGCTCCGCATGCAGCTTGGCTAGCCATGCCTCCTTAACTGGTAGCAACCCGGACAGCGGAAAGGTGCCCTATTCGATAGCTCACGAGAATTTTGGCCGCGAGCGAGAAGGTCTCTGTGATTGGATTGCGCCGGGAAATAATATTAGAGGTGTTGGGTAGGCTTTTCGATTGGATGACTGCGTGGTACCAGGTTCCTTTGGGTGGGTAACGTACCAGTGTATCTGAGGATGAGTACATACGAGTAGGCACCACGAGTGGCATACTACGACTCTCAGTACTCGGCCATACCGGTTGGGGCACAGGTAATACATCTACGAGGCTTAGAAGCGGGTTGGCTTCGTCTCGATGGTAGAGTGATCTCTTACTGGTTCGCTCCCTGTTGTTCCGAGCCTGGGCGTAATTTGTGTTTACATCTGAGTGTTCATCAAGCTTTGTTTCCGTCCGGGATGCCGCTTTGTTCTCGAAGTTGACCTACGCGTGGTTGCATCTCGTGGATGGTTTCTTGTCTTATCGTATGCATCGGTCGCTTCAATTCGCTTTTCCGCTTGACCGCATTTCGGGGGGTCGTTAATTTGAGGACTCCGCGATGAGGCTATTGTTCATGAGAGTGGATACAGACACAGTTAGGAGTCTTACATTCGCGGTATTTGTTTTGAAGTTCCGCGCACAGCTGTCATTAGAGGCCGTAACACCCAACAGCCCTGTAATTTCGATTTCCCGGCCAGACGAAAATTGAAAGTAACACGCATCCTGGAAATCGCGAAGCACTTCTGCACTCCTCAGAGCTTACTTCACCGTGTAGAAAAAAACCGGTCGTTTGCTCTACCTACGCTGCTTTTAAGCCGGGACCACTGATTGCCGATGGAAAACTCAATAGGCATGGAAACTGCACAGTAGAGGATTTTAGAGTCTGGTTCCTCTGTAAGTACCAAGCAGTCAATAACATCATATCATGCCCTACATTTCGTCCGGTAATTACAAAGAAAGCGACCTGCTTCTCGCAATCGCATTTCCAACTAATCGTCTTGATCGATCTGGCATCTGTGGAAAACATCCGTCAAACCATGTAAACGACTTCATCAATTTTTTTGCCTCACCTGGATATTTCTTCGCACTACCTTTTCAGTCTAGGTTTATACCAGCAGGCTTGCATTCTGCAGTTGTAGTACGTCAATAACACTGCCATATGGTGCGGGGCAGGTTGCAGATATACACCTGATACGACGTCGACACGAGGGAAGCCCTTAGGCGCGCCACCTGATTGACGGAAGAAACTGTCCGAGGGTGATTCTTGCCGAGGGTCGTCTCATAGCCGTCGAGAGCCCGCTGGAAACACTCGGCGGAACGGTCATAACAACCTCGATAATATTCTATAATTCCAAGCGTATACAGTGTATTTGAGATATTCGCAGTGTCTTCATTTTTAGCACAGTGATAATATTTGAAAATATTTTGGGGGCCAAGATCAATATGGTTAGATATTCGTCGTTCAAATTCCAAATACTCTGCTGTCCTACCCGGGGAATCCGTGATAATAACTGTAGTAATCAATGATATCGCTTCATTCGCGTGTTTCCTCTGTTCCTGATCATTGACCCGCTCCCGGGCCCATTGTTGAACGAGTGGGTGTATCCAGAAGCTGTCGCACTTAACAAACGAAGTGGCTTTCCGCTTGACCAGAGAGACCGCCAAGAGATTCTCAATAGCGAGGTCAAACGCATTGTCATCTTTCGCAATGTCAGCCCACTAGTCACGCTGCAGAGACGTCATTCGAGCACACCTTGATTCAACCATTCGACCCCAGACTTCCCACGATGAAACAACACATCCGGAATATCTTCGTTGCTTAGGAATGCTCATACGTGCAGCAGACGCGCAGCAGAAGGACAGAGCGCTTGAAACGAAATTTCCCAACAAGTGAAAACCGAGTCGTTCCGGTAGGTCCATACGCTTGGTTTTGTACTCGCAGTACGCTTGAAATTGTTTTCGAGCTTTTGCAGGTATGTTTTGCAATCGATCTATGTCATTGCGATGTACGCTGCAGCTTGGTTGATTGCCAAAGGGAGTCCCCCAAGTTTTTCCACAACTTCCTCTGCGTCCTTGATTTCTATCAGACCCAATTAGCGAGAGCAGAAAAGCGAATCTGCGGCGATCGTATATAGTTACCTGTCGCTGTCAATTCTTCGCCGTCATCGCGTATAATCTTGGTCAGCAGTTCACGGCCAACGTCTTTCTCCATCTCAGTAACCGAAACCGAATGACCAAGTAATTGGGTTTCCGAACGACGAGATGTTACGATTATGCTGCCCCAGTTCGAGTTTGGAAGGTAGCTCGAGATGTTGACCGCCTCGAAGTCCTCATGGTTGTCGACTAAAAGCAACCATCTCGAATTTCCCCTTCTTTGAAGCCATTGCCTAACGCTTTTCCATACCAAGTCGGGATTGCCGACCGCCTCCTGATTGATATTGCCAGAAGGATCAATACCGCCTGGGACTCCCAGATCATTGGCGAGGCGTACGTAATCGGGATTCGGGGAAAATTCGGTAGCATAATGATGTACTAGCTGCTGGAGAACCCTGACACCGCTCGACTCCAAAGCTCCCCGGTCCTTTGCATCAACCCATAGAATCGCGCTGTATAACTGCTCGTAGCGGAGGGCATACTCCAGAGCTATTTGCGTTTTCCCGATACCTCCCAAGCCATGTAGAGCGATCAACCGCCTCGCGGTAGAGGTGGAAGAAGTCACATCTGCCTCGGATTTCGCCGGATGGAATATCGCGTGAATCCGTTCGATCGCCTCGTCTCGGCCACAGAAGAATTCGTTTCTGAGAAACGGTAGCTCCACTGGAAGCTGGAATTCGTCGAAAGAACGAGTCTTGTTCGTGGATGGCTTGTTCACTTCTACAATCAGTCTCGATGGTTTCGACTTGGCAATGGGAGCCTACCGGGTGGTACGAAGAGGGGTTTGGTGATCTTGGATAGACCTTCGTTGTATTCTTTGAGTCGACGAATAAGAGTACCAAACTTTTCCTTGTCCGAGACAGCCCATTTCCACTGCTTGTATGAGGATATCTTTCTGTCAAAGCCGACTGCTGATTGTGCGATCTGTTCAACGATCGTCGCGTCCGAAATCACGGGAGCAAATGGTGCCGGATGAGAGGATAGGCTGGCGGTAGAGGCTGTCCTTTTGACTACCGTTATATCGGTCGATTTTTCGTCTCTCGGTTTTGATGGTGACCTCCCAACCAATTTCCGAAATTTGTTATGGATCGAGAAGCTTTTGGGTCTGCCGCGTTCTCGGTGTTTGCCCTCCGGGGTTATCAGGATTCTTGGGATGGGCGACCCGGCCGAAGTCGGAGGCTGGCCCTCAATCCACAAGCCGTATGCGCTTCCCATACTCTCGATACTGGCGAAAAGATGTGCGATTTCGGCAGCCGTATTGACGATAAGCTTATACCGATCGTTCTCCGACTCGAGGACTTCCTCAAGTTGGCGCCCAGCTGTGAATTCTGCTAATCGCCTCACCCAATCCTTCAAACTCTGCTCCTCTAGGCAGAACAGGTTGTGGTAATGGCGGAAGTCCTCATCGAGCGCCCGAACATCGGAGAAAACTGCGTATCCTTGGAGACTCGTCTCGATGAGCAGACCGACTAGCCCGGGAATCCCTAAAAGAAGCCCGGTAACCTCCATCTTTGAAACCGGTCAGTGAATGTTCGATTAGCACAGACTGACTATTGACCTCGAGCTATCCCGATGTGCCTTGACCGATAAAGAGGTAGTCGCTAGTAGATAAAATCAAGATGATAGCTGTGGCTATGTGCGTGCAGTAGTCGTCCTGGGTGACTGATCGGTGCGGTTCTTATCGTTCTATGGAAGGTGTATTCGCTGGTAAAGGTGCGGGGTAAGAAGTGGGGAACGAGGCTGAAAGTGCTTGCAGCTCAATGGACTCCTTGTAATTGCAAGGGTTGGTAGGTAGCGTATGTAGCTCCCTGCAGGGTTAAGGGCAATCACAGTAATCGTTAGTGTTATTGTTACCAGAGTATTTTACTACACAACGAGCCGAAGATGTTTCTCGATAGCAAGTGTATCCTATCGTTGAGAAATCCACTCTTCCACATACGGCAAAGTATGATACCTATCTGACTCCGTCCTCGATGGTATATATAGTCCAGATTTAGTATCCTAGCGAATATCGTGGTCAGGGCTTAAGTATTTCGTCTTACTTAGTAACAATGCAATACGATATACCTGCTGGAGTTTGCCGCCGCTTCTGTGAGGCCACTGAAGGGCTACCTAACTAGTCCAGCAACGCGTGAGTTTTTTCCTTCAATAATATTGCTTGGAGAGCTATCCGGCAGCCCTGCGGAAGAATTTTCGACTTGAGGTCAGTATCGACCATGCAGCTGCTGTCGTCGTTCTTCGTGGATAGCCCATCTCCGTGGGCCCCCTGTCGCTTACGGTAGCTGCCACCGTTAGTTGCGCCAATAGGTATTCTAGTATAGCCATAGCATCAAACCGATTTCCCCCCCATGCAGCCCATTAACGCCATGACCGGGCTCAGGCCAGACGACCACTGTCTGGATCGTCAACCGAGCGGAACAGCGGCGGATCTACCGACAAGCGGCTATTCCATCGAGTTTGGGCAACTGCAGAATGGCCCCGATGACGAGATACCTCGGGATGAAATCAGAGCAGGTGAAGGCGCCCTGTGACGTATCCTTAGATGAGTTGAATAGCCGCAAAGTGCATGCATGGATATCATGATTTAGCACACGGTGCACGTGGTAGTCCGGAAGGAAGTAGGAGGCGGACGAGCAGATGCTACTTACTAGGTATGTACTGGTATGTATGAGCTTGGTATTGTAAAAAACCAATGTTGGGATTTTCTTACTAAAATAAGTACCAAAGTAGCCATCTTGCGGTCTCGCAATCCCCTCAATCTTCAATGGCAGCCCTCAAGTTTTCATCTGAGCTTCGATCGTGTGAAAACAAACACATCAATTGAGCACAAGTTTCAACGACTGAGCAAGGACGTCCGTACTCCGGCTGGTGAGCCTACTAAAACGCAGCCAGAAATCATGATGCGCTACGTTCAGGCGAAGCAATCTTCCTGTTCCCTCGCACCCACGCCAACGCCTCGCCTCCTCTTTTGTCCTCACTACTGACAGGTCGGGCCTTCCCACTGCCCAGTACTGGGAAGGGTGGTTCTCTGTGTTTAATCATCACCATGGCATTCGACCATACTAGAGCATGGCTGTTACATATACGTGCCAGCACCACTGCCCGGAGGCGTGACATGAGGTTTCCTATTACTCTCCACCCGTCCTTGCTGAACCTTCCAAGGACCCCAAAGAAAACACTGTAATCAAGAAGCGAGATGAAATGCAAGTAATCCGCCGCAAAGATGTCCATAACAGCCCCCGTCCAACTCCCTCCTGCCGTCAAGAATTCGTCCAACTCCTCATCCCTTTCCACTTCCCCTTATAGCTCTCCGCCCCTCGCTCCGCCTTGATTTGCTCTTGTTCCCGCAGTGGTGCCTTCCGCGTCCGAATATATAGGTAGCCGTCTTTTGACCCGTAGCCGTGGCCTGAAGCTGATCACATTCTAGGCTGGGGACGGGGGCGTAGGAAGAAAAGCAGATTCTTCCCATTCTCCTTGATTGTTCCGTGGCCCGGCGAGTCCTCTTCCCCGGTTTTCTGGATGCCTCGCTCTTCCAGCCACTGTGCTGCCCGCCTGGGCCCATAGCGACTTTTGGTGTTGCGTGAATAGTACCAAGTACTTATTTACTCAAGTACATGATTATTAACCATTTATGTAGGTAGTGGGTCATCGAGAGCAGCAATCCGCACAAAGCGATAAGTAAAGACTCGGTTCATCGGACATACATGTTGGAATACCAGCACTATACGGAGGTGTGGGTGGTCAGCGGCGGCGGCGCCGATAGGACGTCGGCGGAGGCAGGTGGTGCCGGCAGGTAGTCGACGGCAGGATATAAGAGTCGGTAGATAGCTGTCAATGGAAAGGCAACTCTCACACATATCATACATTCGAGTGAAACTCTGTGCCTTTCAACAATACACAATCTGTTCGGACTTGGGTTGCTGATAGAAGTAATCAATCGACTCCTCCGGTCTATCTAATCGCATCTAATCACATCTCGTAACTCACTTGCAAGCCGGTCCGGTCAATGGCGGTGGTGAAGCTCCCGCTCACCGGGCAGGTAGACTTCCAGGCGCGAGGACCCACCGACTCTCGGGAGCCCCATTCACAGATTATTCCGAAGCTCAATTCCTGCAGCTTCTCCCCATTCCGCTTTTGCCCCATCTTCAAGTTCAGAGATCTACTCGATTTTCCTAACAAGAATCGAGCCTGTATGGTTGATGATTACATAAGTTTAACTAGTAGTTAAGCGACTCAACACCTCCCCTCCATCCCCCCCCCCCGCACACAACGTCACCACCCTACGGTACCAGCCTTACGAAGCACCACCGAAACCATCAACACCAGCGACACCACCAACATCATCAACACCACCAACACGCGATGAGGCTGATCCGCAAAAGCCTCGAAAAAGACGGGCAAGGGCAGATGACGCTTCTCCCGGAAGTAGCCGAAGACATGGTGCGTACCTCGCAGCGGGCAACTCGCAATTTCCAGCGGCGCTAACCCTCGCAGTGGCACGCCTACAACCTGATCCGGCCTGGGGACGTATTGCGAGCATCCGCGCTGCGCAAAGTGACCACGACGTCCGCGACGGGAACCACGACGTCGACGCGCGTGCACACGATGCTCACGATCACCGTCGACAAGATCGACTTCTCGCCGGCGGACCTGGCGCTGCATATTGGCGGGCGCGTGTGCGACGAGAATAAGTACGTGGCGGTGGGCGCGCACCACACGCTCGACCTAGAGCTGGCGAGGAACTTCACCCTGTCGAAGCCCGAGTGGGACTCTGTCGCGCTAGAGACAGTGCGCGAGGCGTGCTCACCGTGCGATAATGCCGAGATCGCGGCTATCACACTGCATGATGGCCTCGCGCACGTGTGTGCGGTTGGGGAACATACGACGGTCATTAGGCAGAGGATCGAGATGGCGATTCCGAAGAAGCGCGGGGGGAACATCGAGGCGCACGAGAAGGGGTTGGCAAAGTTCTACGCGGCGATTACTGAGGCGTTCCTCAGGCTGTTTGAGGTGGACAAGGTCAAGGTGGTACTACTGGGGAGTCCGGGGTTCTACGCTACGAAGCTGAGGGAATACATCTTTACGCATGCGGAGAAGACGGAGAATAAGGCGCTGCTCAGGGCGAGGCCCAAGTTCATTGTTGAACACACCAGCAGCGGTCACAAGCACGCGCTCAACGAGGCGTTGCTGAGTCCTGCGGTCCGCGCGAAGTTAGCGGATACCAGGTTTGCGCGCGAGACGGACGCGGTCGAGAGATTCTTCCGGATGATTCACACGGAGGAGGAGCGCGCGTGGTACGGCGCGAAGGAAGTGGCAAAGGCGGTGGAGAAGGGCGCGGTGGCTACGCTGTTAATCTGCGACAGTCTGTTCCGCAGCCAGACGGTGGCCGAGCGGCGGAGGTACGTAGCGATGAAGGAGGAGGTGGAAAAGCAGGGAGGCGAGGTGATGGTGCTCAGTAGTATACACGAGAGCGGAGTGCGGCTGGACGGACTTGGAGGGATCGCCGCGATCCTGACATTTCCGCTGGCCGATCTGGACGAGGACGACGAGGACGTCGCAATCGAGGAGAATCAAAACTGAACCTCCTCCTCTATCTTTCCGGCTGTGTGTGTGTGTGTAGGTGAAAGCAAACTCCGAACGCCGATACGTGAGGATATTGTACAAATGGTGGTGCTACAACCGGTAATCTCGCCGCCTAGTGTCGTGTCGCCATCGCCGCCTCATCCGCCGCGCGCGCCTCCCGCCGTCCAGCGCCAATCCCCATGTATTCAAACACGCCTCCATGCTGCCCCTTCAAACAGCGTATCGCGTCCTGCGCCAGCCCAAACCCCGCACCAATAACGAACCCCTTCTTCGCAGTCCGCACCGCAAACCCGTAGCCCAGTCCATCTATTTCCCGTCAGCCTCTCTCCCGCATCCCACCGCCCGGGGAAAACCCACGCCAAAGCGAAAACACCCCCGCGCCGCCCAAGCCCGCACAGACAGTACTCAGGGCATCCACGCGTCCTCTTAACCGATCGACCGCGTCCTCAAAGATGACAAACATGGCGACCCACGCGCCCACCCGGACCGCATGCTTCACGCCCGCCACAACCGCGCCGTACGCTACGTGGTAGTTCTTCGTCTTGTGGTAGAAGTACCAGCCCTTTGTCGACGTCGGTTGGCGGTGCGAGTTCTCCGCCCGGAAGATCAGCGACGCTCTGTGACCGCCCACCATTGACCCCAGCGCGCCGCCGAGGAGGATCGATGTGCCCGTCAGGATGGGGAGGCGCAGGGCGAAGGGGATCGAGAGGCGCGGGGTTTGCGCGGTTGGAGGAAGAAACATTGTGGGCGTGGTGGGCGTGGTGGGTGTGCTGGATGTGGAGCTCGGCGTGGTCGTTGCCGTCGTGGTCGTTGCCGTCGTGGACATCGCGGTCGGTGATGGGTCGGCGGCCGTGGGAGCTGGGCGGGGATGTGTTGGTGGGGTTACCCGGTTGGTTACACGGGGTTGTGTGATGCGGCAACATCCGCTCCACACATGGCTAGATCGATCTGTGTCCGTCGATGTCCGTACGGCGGGACCAGATTCAACAATTCTCGGAGAATAATCAAGACATCTATTGTATGGTGATAAGAGGGTCAAATCATGAAGGAAGAATAAGCACGTGATGGGCTGACTGTCGCCAGGAGCTAATCCATTCTGGCAAGCGTCACTGGATTTACGTCACGACAAGCCACATAACGTGGATTCGGAGCAGTAGATGTGAGCATAACCTTTTCACATCACTCTTTGAGTCCAACACCGCCGTAAATCACATTGCTTCCGTTGCTTCCGTCGTTCCTTCAATTGGATACTGCACAATGGACTTGTTTCCGCTATTGTCAGGGAACTAATTGAGCACTCACCAAATGTTATTCAGTTTCTTCCAACTGGATGTCCGTGTGGATTGGGCCCAGCCGTTTCCTCGGTGCCATGCCTTGTCATTGCCTCCCGAAGCTTGATTAAGAGGTGGCGAGTCTCGCCCGATCCCACAAAACCTATTGGATACCCAATTTCGCAATTGCTTATATCGGCGTCGCTTTGTACGTATTTACCTGCGGAGCCTGTGAATCCTGATCAGGACGGTATGTAGACACGATAACCCGGTGCACTGTGTACGTACGTCATTGTTTGGAACACGGAAGCCTAATGCCCAAAGAGTGAGATTTACCTCTTCGTCTAAAACGGCGGCAGTTTGATGTGTCATACTCCTACATACCTGTGCGTGACCGCCGCTGCTACATATCTGACGACTTGCCAATTGTGGTGATATCACCACCTCCAAAGCCTTACCGTTGGTACCCTCCAATATAGATATCTCGGTACCCACGCTGACCACATCCACACTTCCACGTGCCAACGCGGCCGTTCGGATCCTCGGCACGGGTATCATCCCTGCAGCCCACACTCTCGCTCCACCACCATGCCCGCACCCCAACGGCCGCCCACTTCCAGTATATCAACAAGTATGTACCGCCTCCCCCTCCCCCTCCACCTCCGCCCGCTCTCCCACCTCACCCTTCCACCAATACTCCTCCGCCCTCCCCTTCCACCCCACTGCCCGTTCACAACCTCCCCAATGCCCCCCAGCACCCCCTCCACTCCCCGCCACAGCGCACCCGCACCCCGCCCCTCATCCTCCCTCCTCCTCCTCTCCCCCACCAACCGCCTCCTATTCCTGCAGCGCCCAACACACCACAGCTTCGCATCAGCCCACGTCTTCCCCGGCGGCGTCGTGTCCCCCACCGACAGCAGCGCACAGGAGTGTGCGCTCCGCGAAACGTTCGAGGAGACGGGGATACTTCTGACGGCTTCTGCACCACGCGGGCTGGCTGGGGCTGGGGGGGCGGGGGCGGGGGAGCTGGCGGACGCACAGGCGCGCGTACACGCTGGTACGCTGTCGTTTTCTTCGTGGGTTAGCAGTATCGGCGGTACGCTGCTACCTTCAGCCGAGCTGCTCCCGGCAACAACGTGGACCACCCCCCCCGGCCAGTGGAAGCGGTACTGCAGCGCTATGTTTCTCGCGCAGCTGCCTGGGTGGATTCGCGACGAGGACGCAGTGGGGGATGGGGGGGTTGAGGGGGTTGGGCGCCCGGTGTGGATGAGCCCGGAGGAGGCGCTGGTGAAAGCGAGGGGGGGGGAGGTATTGTTGTACCCGCCGCAACTTTATTTGCTCACGGAGATGGCGAGGGTGCTTGGAGAGGGAGGCGGGTGGGAGGGGGTCAGGGACTGGGCGGGGCGGAAGGGCGGGTTAGAGTGTGAGCCGGAAAGGGAGGTAGTGCTGAAGAGTGGTGAGTGGGTTATGGGACTGGGGCCGCGGGGGGATAGGGACGTGGTCGTGACGCTGCTGGTGGGCGAGAAGGGGACGGAACCGAGGGCTATGGAGGTGGTGCCGCGAAAGGAGATGATGGAGCGGCTGGAGAGGGAGAGGGTGGAGGGGGAGAGGTTGGAGAAGCTGTAGATGTTAGGAAGACATGCATATCACTCGAGCTGAGACGGTGGTGTTGAAGAGTGGCATGCTATGAACTAGGACTGCACACACATCCCAACCACCACACGCTTGGTACCTGTTAGCCCCAGAGTATCATATACAAAATCAACCGATCCCACTAGCAGAGACCGAGCACGACAGAAAACAAATCGAAAGAGAAAATAAGCAGAGGCCCCATCCGCCGCTCTTTTAGTTATCCCATAAACGCAATATCCCAACGCAGCCAGCCCAACCATACTCCAACTTAACACAAAGCACCCATCTAAGCATATAGCTTCTTGTTGAACTCGTGCAGGCCGTGCACGTTACCCTCCGCCTGGGCCGAGACAGTTCTGATCTCGAAGCGCACCTCGCCCTTGCGCACGCCCTTCTGCAGCGCCTCGATGCTCGTAACACCGATGTCCTGGAGGGAGTGCTGGAGCCCCGCCTGGAGGTACGGCACGAACTTTGTGACGGAGCCGCGGTCGAGCACGGAGCCGGAGACACCCTGCGCGACGCGCACACTATCGCCCTCCGAGAAGTAGCGGCCGGTGGCAGCGTTGTCCGCCGACTTCTGACTCTCCATGGCGTCGATCGAGCCCATGCCACGGTAGGCCTTGACCATCTTGCCCTCGGCGGACAGGAAGTACTTTCCGGGGGACTCGGTGGTTCCGGCGAGGAGACCACCCATCATGACGGTGGAGGCACCAAGCGCGATGGCCTTGACGATGTGGCCAACGTTCTGGACTCCTCCGTCGGCCATGCACGGCACGCCGAAGCGGTTGGCGAACTCGCAGATGGAGTATACGGCAGTGGCCTGGGGACGTCCGACGGCCATGACCTCCTGGGTGATGCAGGCGGAGCCAGAGCCCATTCCGATACGGAGACCGTCGGCGCCGGCAGCGATCAGGTTTGCGGCCTGCTCACGGGTGACAACGTTACCGGCAATGACGTCGATGTTGGGGAAGGTCGCCTTGATCCACTTGAGCATCGAGATCTGGTACATCGAGTTACCCTGCGACGAGTCCATGATGACGATGTCGAGGCCAGCCTCGACGAGCTTGCGCAGACGCTCCTTGTCGTCCTCGCGGGTGCCGATGGCGGCGGCGCAGAGCAGCTGCTTGCTGTCGACTTTGGACGCGAGGGGGAAGTGCAGGTTCTTCATCAGGTCGGAACGCGAGAGGAGCGCGGTCAGGTTGTTGTTCTTGTCGACGATCGGGAGCTTGCCCTTCTTGGACGAACGCAGGATCTGGTTGGCCTCGGCGAGAGTGATGCCCTCGGGGGCGGTGATCAAGTCCGTGGTCATAACCTCGGCCAGGGGGGTGGTATCGTCACGGTGGAACTGGATATCTCGCATCGTGACGATTCCGACGAGCTTGGACTTCAGGTTGCCATCCTCTGAGCAGCAATAAAGTCAGCGAACCGTCGACAACAATTGCGAGTAGTATCAGGAAAATGAAGTTAAAGAAAGAGAGCTCAGTTCCGTCTTGAAACATAAGAAATATAATCCACATAGATAATTGAGGAAGGAAATTGTTATAATCACAGCTCTGGGGAAATGAAAAAAGAAAAAAAAGATTGAAGGAGGAGTCATACCAGTTACGGGGATACCGGCAAATCCGTGCTCATGCTTGACCTGGCGAACGTCTCCTACGGTGTTCGCGGGGCTCATGACCACCGGGTCAAGGATGAAACCGTTCTCGTAACGCTTGACCTTGCGCACCATCTCGGCCTGCTCATCGGCGGTGCAGTTGTGGTGGATGACACCAACACCTCCCAACAGCGCCATGAAGATGGCCATGTCGGTCTCGGTGACGGTGTCCATCGGCGACGACACCAAAGGCAGCCTCAGCGAGATGCGCTTGGTGATCTTCGACTCGAGGGTGACGTCGTGCGAGGCGAAACCGATGTAGCCGGGCAGGATCAGGAAGTCGTTGTAGCTGCAATTCCGGCAAGATCAGAGACGGTGATAGCGGAGGGAAGGAACATGGTACTCACGTCATTCCTCCCCGCTTATCGGAGTCCAAGAGAGACTTGACATCTAAGCCGTCCCTCTGGTAGTCGGTCTTCAGATACTCGACAGCCGACGTGAAGTCGAGGATAGTGGGAGTGGTGGAGGACATGGTGTAGGAGTCGTGGCGGGTAGAAGAGAAGGAAGGAGGAAAGAAGGTGGGTTCTTTCTGCTTGACTCGAAAGTGTTTCCTGTTCCTACTACTTCTTCTGCGGGAGATGTGAGAGGGAGGAAGTGTTTTCAGAGACAAGGGAAACGGGTATTGACCGGTCCAAGTAAAAGAAAGAAGAAGAAAGGAGCGCGAGATGGCATTTTATGGCGGGGCAGATGACACTATTTTCGCATTAAGCTAGGGCGCTGTGGGCCGTGTGAACTTTTTTCCTGAAAAATTTCAGTTGTTGGTGGGGGGCTTGGCGGTGGGGTGATGGTTCAAGTTAGGGCGAGAGCGCGTAAAGCATCGTCCCATCCGGCTAAGTCATTTTAAGCTTGACTCGCTGACATCTGGGCTACTCGTTATCTTATCAATCGCTGAGTCATGCTGCGTCGGATGTTTTTGGCATCTGCTCGACGGCGGGATTGACATGGCCACCGTTTGGGCGGGTGGAGGGGTGTGTGCTAGAAATCGTCCCGCACATGTGGAAGTAGACCCCGACACCCTGGGGCGACGATCAAGGGCGCAACCGGAGAAGGGCTGGGAACTTCCGTAGGCGGACACGCACGAAAGACGAGGAGGATGATGAAGATGTCACTCTAACTCCGCCCTGAGGTCGCATCTGCTCTAGCGTTATGCTTCCTCAGACGCCGTCTGATGCTGCTCCCCTCATGTTGCTTCGAATCTCATCGTATCGTATCTTATCTTATCACATCCCTCTGGACGGTAGTCAACACTGCGCCAGAAGTATTGGCTACGGCTTCAAAGAGGATGTCACAATTATCTGCACATGTTTAAAACTGTTGTTGAAGCCCTCGCTCCCTCGAGCCATCGAGTCGTCCTCGGTCAGCAGCTGCCAGGATGTCGACTCGGAGAAGCCACGGGAGCACACGAGGTGATTTCCGCTGATTTGGACAACCCGGTGTGCGTCGCGCATTGAGTGCTGCCGTCGAGGTCTATGTGTGTGCAGTCATCTACTCTAGATGTGTTTCTGTCAAGCTGCGATGCCATCCTCTTTATCTGATCTTTTCCATCTCATCTCTGCCGCCGCGCAACTAGCCACTTCGTCCCACCAGCCACACCCTGACACACCCGCCCCTCCGTGGTTGCCACAGCGACGAGCGCACCCTGCGCACACAACAAACAGCGCATTTCGTTGGTTCACAGGCCTGCGAAGCCATCGCTCCCAGCCAACCAGAACCCCCATCGCGGCATGTACCTCATGTAGAGTGGATGGTGATACGGTTCTCTGCATGATATGATCCCCCGTGAGAGTTTGTTGTTTTGATGCGCGATAGTCAGAGACTGTTGAAAAGGACCGCGACGGGAAACAGAAGCCCAACTTCTCCATCTCCATCTTCTCCATCTCCACCTTCCTCTTCTTCTGTCTCCGCTCTAGCGACCGAACCATACTAGTAACTACCGCACCCCAACGATCGATTTCGTCACCTCGCATCTCCCTCCCCCTCTGCCTACCACCGCCTCTTCGTCTCCCCTGACCGCCATCTTCACCTCTTCAACCTCATCCCTCTCTATCCCCTTCGCAGCGCGAATCCACGCCTGTTGATCGATCACGCACCTCTCGTCCGCGTCGCTCTTCGCCGTTCGTCCCGCCGCTACTTGCTCGGGCCTCCGCTCGCTTATCGCCGCCCACACAGAACTACACGAACTAGAGCACCTATACCGAGATAGAGAGAGAGAGAGAGAAAGAGAGAAAGAGAGAACCGTGACCTGCGGAAAGAGCCTCCTTGCTGTTACGACCCCTCATCAACATATCCCCACCTTCATATCATCCCAAAGTACCACAACACCCTTTCCAGCGCTATCCCTCGCGTCTGGTCGCGCTCCTTCAGCTGCAAAATCTGCGAAGTGAGTTCCTGCCCCCACAGCGATCATTTACGCGCCGGGCGTGTGTGGCTGTGTGTGTGCGTGTACGACCGAGGAGACCTGAGAGACTGAGAGTGGCAGCTACCAACCGATCCTGCCTCTGATCCCCCCACTCCTCGAAACCGGATCCCACGGTCGATGTCATGTCCATCTACCCCCCAGCCTCGCCTCACACACGACAAGCTTCGACCGCTTCGAATTCCTCGCTCAGTGGTGTGTCGACGTACTCGTTCCCGTCCTCTCGCTCGGCCACAGTCTCGCCCACCTCATCCTTATCCTCGCGCTTCGGCAAGTTCGAGAACCGCTCAGCCAACCTTACCGCCGGTCACAAGCACGCAGCATCTCTCGGGGGCCCGGCGCCGATGCTTTCCAGCTACACCACGAACCTCGCCAACAGCAGCAGCAGCACCAGCACCAGCGAAGCTCCCTCGCGCCAGCCAACACCCCTCACTCCGCCACGGAATGCCTCGCCGCTCACGCGCCAGCCAACCCACAACCGAGGCGCCAGCGTCCCGAACTACTCGCCGAATCCTAACGTGTCGCCGACTGCTGCCGCACGGCCAACTCCATCACCGTACAACTCCGCGCATCGCAATTCCGTGATCGCCGGCACCACTTCGCTGAAGAAGGATGATATCACACACCTACGCAACAGCAGCGTGTCGCATTTCCGCACGCTGTCCCGGCTGACGAATGAAGGGAATGCTGAGGAGTTCGGCATCGTGGCGGGCGCCAGCGAGAATGTCGCCGGAATGCATGGACGCAAGCGGTTGCAGCGCGCGCAGACAGATAACATGACCAGCTGGGAGAGGATGACGTGGATGGATAAGCGGAGGCAGTACATTCAGGCATACGAATACCTGTGTCATATCGGAGAAGCAAAAGAGTAGGAGGAATCCCCGTCGAAAAAATAAGTGGGAGAGCAGGCTTCGGCATAGTACTAACACGGGAATTCGTGCAGATGGATGGAAGATTGCATCGGCGAGCCCATTCCGCCCATCGTGGAGTTGGAAGAGGCACTACGAAATGGCGTCGCACTTGCAAAGTTGACGCGAATATTCTCGCCCGAGCTTGTACCACGAATATTCGAGCACCCGAAATTACAGTTCAGGCATTCGGACAATATAGATCGGTTCTTCCGGTTCTTGCGCAAAGTCGAGCTACCAGATGTACACACGATCTAGTGGATCACCATACCACCCGTCCTGCCTGTCCAATTGAGTTGCGCTAATCTCGAGACTAGATATTCTTCTTCGAGACTACCGATCTGTACAACAAAAAGAACATTCCCAAAGTGATTTACTGCATCCACGCCCTCTCGTTCCTCCTCTTCCGACTGGGCCTCGCGAGCCACGCGGTCGGCAACCTCGTCGGAAAGCTCGAGTTCACCGAGACGGAAATCCAGAACACACAAAAAGGCCTGGACACGGCCGGCGTCAGCTTACCGGCCTTCCGGGGCGTCAACAAGCATTTCGAGGTTGAGCCCGAGCCGGAGCCGGAGGAGACCGAAGAGGAGCGGATAACGCGGGAGCTTCGCGAAGCGCGGCACGAAACGTTCGAGCTACAATGCCTATGTCGCGGCGCGGCGGTGCGGCTGCGGTTGGGAGATATGATGGACCGGCTGTGGGATGCCGAAGAGGAGATTTTGGATCTGCAGGCGAGAGTTCGCGGGATGTTTTGTCGACTGTCGTTTCAATACCGCGCGGATATGTCGAGGTGGGCGACGAATCTTCAGGCCATTTCGAGAGGGTATCTGGCCCGTCAGCGACATATTCAGCAGCTTCGGTATTGTGATAAGAACCAGAAGATCTTTGCGAGGTTGCAGGCTAGGATTCGCGCCAACAAGGTGCGCGAGCAGGTGAAGGAGCAACGGACGCAACTGGAGAAACAGCAGAAGGGAGTGGCAGTGGTGCAGTCGGTAATTCGCGGGCTCCTTGTTAGGCGGCGGCTCGGCGAGCAGGTCGCAGATGCACTCGAGAGTGAGGATCACGTGGTCGGACTCCAAGCGCTGGCAAAAGGAATTCTGGCGAGACGGAGGTTCGCGGGTCTCATGGGGGAATTGCGGGACCAGGAGGAGATCTTCACGCGCTTGCAAAGTGCTGTCCGGGGAAGGCTGGTCCGGAGCCGGATTCACCAGGATACCACCGCCTTGGAGCAGGCACAGGAGGAGTTTGCGGATTTGGCGGCTGCGGCGAGGGGTGTGCTTGTGCGGCGTGAGGTGCAACGGACCAAAGAGGCGCTGGCGGAACAGGCGGAGGTTATCACATCACGACAAGCTGCTGCGAGGGGTGTGTTGGTACGGCGTCAGATGCAACAGACCAAGGAGGCTCTGGAGGAACAGGCTGAGGTGATAACATCGCGACAAGCTGCTGCCCGTGGAGTACTGCTGCGTCGGGAGATGGCAAGGACAAAGGAGGCACTCTCGAAGCAGGATGGCGCAATCACTTCTCTTCAGGCTGCAGCCCGGGGTATGCTGGTCCGTAGCAGTATGGATAGTGACCAACAGCAGTTGCAGGCGGTCACCGAGGACGAGAATAACACACTTCCGCTCCTCCAGGCGATGATCCGCGGATACCTTCTCCGACAGGTGTTTAACGCGCAGAACCGGGCACTGGAAGCGGATATGCAACTGTGGATTCAGCTGCAGGCTGCGTCGCGTGGAACGATTGTGCGATGGGATTACAGGTGGAAAATGTTGTGTCTGGCCGAGGCCGAGGACGACATTGTCGATATCCAAGCATGTGCTCAAGGTTTTCTCGTCCGGAGCGCCTACCACCAAACTCTGGAACAGCTTGACGCCACCGTCGGCGGTGTCACTGCGCTTCAGGCTCGCTGCCGTGGTGCGCTGGTTCGTTGGGAAGTCCTGGACACCAATGCTGCGCTGGAAGACGAGGAAGAGAGCATCGTCGGACTCCAGGCACATGCACGCGGTTTCTTGCATCGGCTCGCACGGGAAGACTTCTTGGCGGAGTTGGAAAGTCATGTTGCCGATATCGTTGACGTTCAGGCTGCCGCGCGCGGTGTGCTGATTCGGTGGAGACTCGACGATATCGTCATGGCGGTCCAGGACCAGGAAGAGGCCATCCTCGAACTACAATCAGCGGCGCGTGGAACGATCGAGAGGGTCAAGTTCCAGACAAAGCTCAAGCACTACCGCGATAACATGGACAAGGTCATCAAGCTGCAGAGCTTCGTAAGGGCGAAGCAGCAGGGAGAGGCCTACAAGTCGCTGATGGGCGGCAAGAATCCTCCGGTCGGAACCGTCAAAAACTTTGTGCACCTCCTGAACGATAGCGACTTTGATTTCGACGAGGAGATTGAGTTCGAAGGCTTGCGCAAGAAGGTGGTGCAGCATGTCCGGGCGAATGAATTGGCCGAGGCGTACGTCGACCAGCTCGATGTCAAGATCGCGCTGTTGGTCAAGAACAAGATCACCCTGGACGAGGTCATCAAGCATCAGAAACGGTTCACCGGACATGTCGGCAACCTCCTCAGCAACACCGACATTGCAAGCTCGGATCCGTTCGACCTCAAGGCGCTCAACAACAACTCGAGGAAGCGGTTGGAGAAGTATCAACAGATGTTCTACGCGCTGCAGACTCAGCCACAGTACCTGTCGAGGTTGTTTAAGCGGATAAGGGAGCAGAATACCGCCGACAAGGAACTGAAGAGGATCGAGAACCTGGTCATGGGCATCTTTGGATACTCGCAGAAGCGGCGCGAGGAGTTCTACCTTCTCAAGCTGATCGTGCGCAGTGTCAAGGAGGAGATTGACAAGTGTGAGCGACCCGAGGACTTCCTACGGGCCAATTTCTTCTGGATCAAGCTGGTGGGAAGTTACATCCGCTCGCCGAGAGATCGCAAGTTCTTGCACGAGCTCCTGGGCCCGCTGGTCCGCGAGGAGTTCATCGACAACGAGGAACTCGATCTCGAGAGCGACCCGCTGCAGATCTACCGCGCGTCGATCAACAACGAGGAGCTCCAAACGGGAATGCGCAGCGAGCGCAATCCAGATGTCGGACGCGATCAGGCGATCAGAGATCCGGAGACAAGAGAGACGTTCATCGCACATCTACAGGCCCTTCGGACGCTATCGGAGGACTTTATGAACGTTCTCGACAACAATGTCGAACGCATGCCGTACGGCATCCGGTACATCGCGCGCAAGGCTATCGAGGCACTGCTGGAGCGCTTCCCCGAAGAGAATGAGGATGTCATTGTTCAGGTCGTCGAGCACTTTGTCTTCCAGAAGTACTTCAATCCGGCGATCATTGGACCCGACGCTTTCGGCATTGTCAACAAGACCTTGACGCCCATACAGAAGAAGAACCTGGGCGCGCTCTCCAAGCTGCTGAATCAGGTCAGTTCCGGACGCCTGTTCGCCAACGAGAACATGTTCCTGCAGCCGCTCAACGAGTACGTCTCGATCGCGATCGGCCAGTTCAAGGAAGTGTTCAAGGCGATCGTCGACGTCCCCACGGTCGAGGCCAGGTTCGAAATGGACGAGTTCGAGGACTTGACCAGCAAGCAGAAGCCGACGCTGTACATGAAGATGTCGGATATCTTTGCGATCCATCGCTTAGTCGCGCAGGAGATCGATGCCATCGCCGAGACACGTGAGGACCCCCTGCGCGAGATCATCAATGAGCTCGGCAGCGTGCAGACTTCGGAAAGCGAGTTGAAAACGGTGGGGAACACGGAGATCTCGCTGCAGTTGGATCCCAGTTTCCACGTCGTCGACGATCCGGAGTCCGAGATTAAGGCGCTGTTCGTCGAGACTAAGCGCTGCATCCTCTACATCATCCGCATACAGACCGGCACGAACTTGATGGAGATCTTGGTTAAGCCGATTACCGCGGAGGATGAGGAACGGTGGGATAGTCTGGTTGCCGAGGAGCTGCAGAATTCGGGCGGGAAGAAGAGGGGTGCTTATGCGGATCACACCATGCTGACTGATATCAACTCGTGGGTACCCTCGCTCATCTCGTGTGACGATAAGCTGACTTTGGTAGGATGTCGTATGCTCAGTTGAAGCGCACCGCGCTCGAGAACATCATCAACCTCGAGCGCTTCGGCAAGATCACGCGCAAGAACCAGTACCAAGACATCCTGAACCAGATCGCGATCGACATCCGCACCAAGCACCGACGGCGCGTGCAGCGGTCGCGCGAGATGGAGGGCATCCACCAGACCCTCGCGCACCTGCAGGAGAAGGCGGTGTACCTCGACCAGCAACTCAAGAGTTACAACGACTACATCGAGCAGGCCATGGTAACGCTGCAAACGAAGAAGGGCAAGAAGAAGACCATCCTGCCGTTCACAAGGCAGTACTTCCACATGCGCGAGCTCGAGCGCTCCGGAAGAGTGCCCAAGTTTGGCAGCTACAAATACTCGGCCCGCGCGCTCGCTGATAAGGGCGTCCTCGTCAAACTCGACGGTTACCCGGAAAAGCGCTGGGATAAGATCAACTTCACGATCGCAAGCGACGAGATCGGTTCCTTCTTTGTCGAGGCTAGTAATGGCAGCATGATGATCCCGGGCGCGTCCGCGCAGGTGCTGCTCGATGATTTGTTGCAGGTTTGTTTTTCCTACACCTTTCAAACGAGAAGCAACCTGGCTAATGAATGATGGAATAATAGATGCAATTTCACAACAACCAGTTCATGATGCTGTGCGAGGGCATGATCAAGTTCAACGTCAACTTGTTCCTGCACCTACTGTTTCGAAAGTTCTACCGGGACGAGTAGGGTCGTCGCACGCTGTTGCAGCGGGGTCGGCGGCGGTGGTGAGAAAGAGGGAGGGGGGGGTGGGGGAGGTAAGAGGGGGGAGGTATCTTTATGGGAGTTTGTTCGTTTTTTGCTTTCCTCTTTTTTGTTGTTTGTGGCTTCATTTACGCGGTTTTGCGTGCTGTCGGGTCCGGTGGGGCGGGGGTTATCTGGGGGGATTGTTATCGACGAACTACTTTTGCTGGCAGAGGATGGGGAGAGGACGCGGCGTGCGGCGTGGGCTTGGTGCGTGGGGGCGAATTCTCGACTTTCGGTTGCTTTCTTTTCTTTTCTTTTTTTTCGTGTACATGCTCTGTTCTGCTCTCTTCTCTATACCACACCGTGCTTGATGCGTTTGTTTATGCTTGATGCTTGATGCGTTTATGTTTGATGCGTTTGTTTATGCTTGATGCTTGGTGCTTGATGCTTTGTGGTTATGCTTGTTACGTTTATGTTTGTCTTTTCTTTTTCTTTGTGTTGTTTGTGGTTTTTGTGTTGTTTTGTTGTCTGTGATTCTTGTGTTTTGTTTGTTGTTTTTGCGAGGGGAGTGGTGTGGCGGGACAGGGGGAAGGCGGAGGGGAAGAGGGAGGTGTATATACCACTTTTGCTACGGGAGGATGACAGTACGGGACTTGGCCCTTTTATTTTCCAATGGATCTAGTGGTCTATTCTATTATCTCGGTGGTTGGTGGTGAGCGGAGATTCGGAGATTCAGAGTGAATGACTACCGTACTTACCTAGATGGCCTCTGTGAAGAATTGCGGAAGCGAATGTGGCAACGTTACGGCAGGCAGATGAGATCGAGGCGGGGAATGGCTAGGGGAGGGGAGAAGGCTGCCAAAACACGCCAATTGGAATGGAAATCGGCGCACAGTGTAACCACCACTCCGGCACTCCAGCACTCCAACAGAGCCTAGCGAAGAGCTGGTTAACGGTTGGAAGTGCACTCCAGCACCCTTGCTCGCGCAGCCCAACCGTCAGCCGCGTGTTCGCCGCCAACGGCCAGCCATCCCTTATATAATACACACACGGTGGCGCCTCGCTCGCGGTAGTTGAACCTGACAACTCTAATCCAACGTCCGACTACACAGCCGGACGCTTATTCCCTCCCTACCGTCCTCTCTCGCAACGTCCCTCAATCTCGGGCTTGGAGTTTCCGTACATCGGTGCCTACCTTACGCGAACCCAATCAGCGATCGTCGACTGGTAAATGCAACATCCCACGCCCCCCTACGCACCCAATAGCGCAAAAGAGAAAAAAATCGGACACACAAAGGCATGGGTAAAAGGATACTCTCTGTCAGGGAATTGAACCCTGGTCTCCCGCGAACTATCATGAGAAATGACAGGCGGAAATACTAACCACTATACTAACAGAGATTTTGTATGAGTGTTTTACGATAGTTACATCTAGGAATATATTATTTCATTTTGCTTCACTAGTCAATGGTGAATGATGAAAGTGAGAAACCTCTCTTGAGCCGCAGTCAGCGCTCGGTTGGTGAACTGTTTGGGAGTGTAAGTGAAGTTATTAAGTTATGCTGCTTTGAAACGTTCATAGGGGACAATGAACATTGCACGGTATTTCAACTTTCAAGAGGTTTTCCGCTTTGGACCCACTTCGATCGACAAGCGACTAAATACCTAAGCGGTGACAGAATTTGAAAACCTTTGGCATTTTGGACTGTTTCCCCAAAACTATAGCTTGGCATTTTAGACGTCTGCCGTAAAATTGAACATCCACGGGGCGCACTTGCCACTGGCTGGAAGGAGGGAGACAAAACCTGTCCGGATACTATCATACCGAGTGATAGATTGTGTCTTCACCGCAGCAAACCGTTCCGATTGATCCAATGCTGGAATTAGTTATGGCCACGCTAGTTTCGGACGTTTCCGCCGCGATCGTTCGTTCATTTTCATTTGGTCGTACGATTTCTTGCTTCTGGTATATGCGGTGGGAGGCGGCGTGGCGGGGGTAGCGGAGCTTTCAGCCATGTCGTAGTTGTGTCCATGCGGCGCCGTTTCACGTGTGAATCGTCGTCGGTCCATGGAGTTGTTCTGGAAACCCAATCCTAGCCACATTTGTTATAGTGGGATAATCTTCAGCTGGTACTGTTCGTGTCCCCGCATAGCAAACCCCGCTGCGCCACTCAAGCATCGCAAGTCCGTAACACAGGTTTCACTACATCTCCGGAAAATACCGCATCTAGAGGTGCGGGTTTAACTCCGTGGACGCGAGTACTTCTCTTTTCGGTCTAAATCGTCAGATAAACTCCGAATCTAACGCCTTGGCACGTGCATCTAAGTCTTCTGCGACGCGTCAGAGGTACCGGTACCGAGAAACGGCAAGGCTGAGCAATTCTGTCGTGAGCAATTCTGTCGTGAGGGAGTCTGTCGTGATGATCTCTGCCGTGATGAGCCGTCTTGGATGTGTTCTATTAGCTATGCGAGTCCAAGGAGGAAAGAAGGATACGGAACCAGTCCTAACCCAGCCCATTCCTCGAATCGAAGCGCTAACCGTTTCAGGACTTTTGTCCCGTTTGATGTCCATAGCCCGATATAGTAAGTGCCTTTGTGCTCGGGTATCTCAATTCTTGAGTGCCGATATGCATAACACAACCTCCGCCCTGTCAGGTAGAAGACGCACATCACCGCCTATGTCCGCCAGTGTCCAATCATAATGACAGCCCGGGATAGACATGACTTTTGTGCATCAGAAAAATATTTCATAATCACTGGCTCGTAGCCGCGTGTGTACCTGGATGGCCGATACCTTTACTCTCATCAGATCAGCTCCTTTGTGCGGAAATAGAGCTCCAAGCCTAACAAATGAACAATTAGATAGATGATCTGATAGAAAATATACAGCCCTGCCTCCGCCTGCAGGCACAGCCTTCGGGCCACGCTACCGCGTCGGGGATATAGCATCCCAACTCGGCGAGTGCCGTTGGGCTTCGGAGTGATTCGTGTCCGATCGGAAACTGGTTAAGCAACAGGGTTCCGGTTAAGGGTTAAGAGTAACAGCAGAACGCATCGCCTAGAGATTATCTTCTGTCCCCCTCCAACTCGATCCCAGCTCCAACGTCAACCCCCAAATATATTTTCTGAGTTCTCACGAACCACGTTCTTTGCACATACATCTTTTTTTGGGTGGCGTTTGGGAAACGGATACCCACTGCAGTGTGATTGACGCAAGTATATCGAGAAAATGCCGCCCCGGAGGTCGCACACAAAGTCGCGAACAGGTTGTCAGAGATGCAAGAGCCGCAGAATAAAGGTATGACCCGAGTACGGATACGGCGCTGAACGGGTTAGGCATCAACGATTTTCATACTGCGTGGATGTACGAGCATAGTTCGATTTGCTAACCCTTGCCTCCAGTGCGATGAGACCCATCCTTCGTGCAACAACTGCATCAATCATGCTATTGTCTGTGATTTCTCACTGCTTCTCGAAGAGCATCGCGCTACTTCCCAGGAGGTTCAGGCGGCTCCGCGAGTCACTGCTGCACATGTGATGACACCGTCATCGACCGCGGCTTCATCACCTGCGGAGCTCCCAACGCCTCGTTATTCACCCAGCGTGCCTGATGTCCAACAGTCACGCGCGCTGGAGCTGATGGACTCTATGCCTTCGCTTATCTTCACGGGAGCATTAGACGATGACGATGGCTGGGGAGAAGCACCTGGGATATCTCCGTGGTATCCCATCACGGTTTTCTGCACGATCGGGCCCAGCGGCTGCAGTGATAGTGATACTATGGATCCTCTCCTTCTCCACAGTACCGACGGCATGGAGTGGTACAATCCAGGGCTGCCGTCTCCATCCCCGTCATCACTGCCTTCACCATCCCATAACGCAACATCGGCGAGCCAACTTTCGATCTCCCGTCCCTTGTATCCAGGAATCGCAACAGTGCAACAGACCAGTCTCAATGTGCTCGACCTCTCACTGATGCATCACTGGTCAACCTCCACTAGCTACACAGTCACCAGCCGCGGGGATGTCCAGCAACTATGGCGCATCCACATCCCGGTGATGGCCTTCCAGCACCCATTCCTGATGCACTCGACCCTCGCCGTCTCCGCACTCCACCTGCACTCCAAAGAATCCGACCCCTCCAAGAACCAACCCCTCCTCTCCGCCGCCACTCACCACTACGAGCGCGCTGTTCGCAGTCTCGCAGCGAGCCTCACGAACATCACTCCGGATAACTGCCAAGCGATATTCGTCGCGGCGGGGCAAGTCGCGATCTTCTCCTTCGTAGCCTCGCGCATCAGCGACACCAGCGGGCACAAGCCCTCCCAGATCGCCTCCTGGATCCCTTTGCTCCGCGGCGTCAAGAGCATCCTGATGCGGTCCTGGGACTGGGTGATAACCAGCCCGCTCGCACCGATCATCACGCAGCACCAAGCCACAGGCATCGACGCGCTTGACGCCGAGACCGAGCAGGCGATCCAGAGCCTGTACCGGCTGTGCACGGACCGCACGCTGCCGGACGCAGGCGAGCTGTCGGACCCCACCGTCTCGACCGCGTACTTCTCCGCGATCGCGGAGCTGCGCCGCGCCTTCACCGAAGTCTCGAGCTGGGACTCCGTCCTCGGCGATATCTTCAAGTGGCACATCTTTGTCGCCGACCGCTTCGTAGAGCTGCTGAACGCGTGCCGTCCCCGTGCCCTGGTCATCTTTGTGCACTACTGTGCACTGTTCACTCGCTTCGAGAAGTCCTGGTGGGCCAGGGGCAGCTTCGTCCATGAGCTCAGGAAGTGTGAGAAACATCTCGGCGAGGAGTGGAGGCCGTGGATCACGTGGCCGAGACTCATGATTCTTGCGGGGAACATGGAGGGTGCAGCGAACATGGAGGGTGCGGGATTGCCGGGGGGAAGGATCTGAGCTGCTGCTATGTATTGACCGGTTGTGTTTTCTTCCTGTTTGGGTTTGGGTATCGGGAGTTTTGTGTATTGTACTGTAGTTTGATATCCGAAGCAGTCTAATAGAATAACGTGTTTTATATAGGATACATATCCTAGATTACAACAAACCCGAAATTTGAACAGAGTGACGATGTGGCTTGATAATGTTACTTATCGAGTGAGAACTTCCACAGCAACAGCAACATCCACCACCAATACCGAGTGATGCCATATGCTAATCGCCTGGATGCCCAGATGCGTACTTCTCGAGGCAACAGTGCACGAGCACTGCACAAACACCTCCTTGCTGTATACATACATTAGGTACATGTATACAAGAGGTTTCTGCGATATGCATCTCTCTTATCGTTATTCAGGCCACTCCCGACGCGACGACATGCCGAAGTCACCGCGTGATCCGCGCGATTCTGTGCTGTCGTGCACCATGATCTCCACGCCGAACGCCCGTGGTTCATGCATGCAGGGGGTGGTAGGTAGTTGCCCGTCCAGACCGGCACCGATAGCCATGCGCGTGTAAACGTACCTATCTACTCCGATACGGCGATACGGGTCACGGGGGCAACGAGTGCACCAGGAAGCGCACAGCACCTCTAGGGACTGGCCGTGCATGCTGGCGGCGAGACTCAAAGTCGGGCGACTTCTTAAGCAGCAAGATTCAGCCGCGCTTTCCGCGGCTAAAGCCAAGTAACATGCAAGTGCGAAAAGCAAAGTACGCGACGTTTGCCCACCCTAGCTATATCTATTAGGCGCTTGGATCGGCACTATTCTATGTATGGACATCATCTATTAGATGATGCCATTTCGTGCATATGCGGGCTTGATTATTCTGCAAGGAATTAGCATTGAGTGCCCGTACCATCTTTGCTCTGGCCTGATCGATCATCGAGCATGGAAGTTTGTGAGTGATGGGTTTTACAGAGGAACACGCACCGGGCCACTATGTTTAGGGGTAAGATACTGGGGTGGAATTGGTTTTGTATCTGCCATGACCCAAAGTGGGACGCATAGGTAGATGAATCATGATCAAACATTAAACAAAAAAGCAAAGTATTTATGTACAGGAAGCCGACACTGCAGCCGAATATTTTTCGTAAAAGGGGGGTACCAAGACAGAATATGTAGAACTAAACCTGGCCTCCGCCGAAACAAGGACCCAGACCGCCAAATCCATCGTCAGTGACGGTTCCGGGGAGAATCCCCACCGATCCAAGTCCGGACGGACATTGCGCGGACGGATCGGTCGACTCCGACGCTGACGCGAGCGTGCAGAACCCCAGGGGCGCGTAGAAGTACCAGCCACTGCAGCCGGCGGCGGAGTCGTAGCACGCGGAGCAGCACGCGACTACGTCCGCCTGGTCCTTGAGCACGTCCATGCCACCTGCGGCTGTCATTCCGGCTGCGGTCTGTTGCGCCGGGCAAACGGTGCTGATGGTCGTGCTGGTTTCGGTCTCGGTGACGGTGGTGGTGGATGCGGCATCAGTGACGGTGGCTAGCGGCGTGGTCGTCGTAAGAACGGTGGTGGTCGCTGTCTGCGTCTCTGTGAGAGCCGCTGTCCCGGGAAAGGCCGTGACAGTCAGCGTTTGTGTCTTTGTTGTGGTGTGGATGACGTGCTTGACTAGCTGTGAACATGCCGCCGAGATTGCGGCTGGCGCGTAGCTGCTGAGAAAGGCCGGTGGACTGACATTGCGTTTTCGGGCCGCGGCCGTTACGAGCGGCGTGCCGACGGTGGAGGTGAGCGTGGGGTTCGCAACGGTTTCGGTCACTGTAGTCGTGATTGTTGATACCGGCTCGATGGTGACTTGCATGCAGTGTTAGCCTTGGGCTTTCCTTACCAGGATGGAGCGATCGAGATTTCACTCACCAGTCAGAGGTGGGTCTGTCACGATAGCCGTAGTCTCGAGCGTCAGACCGACCACCGAAGTCACTGTGGTAGGACTACACTCCGGTCCATCACCGCATGTGGTCTTGGTGACCGTTTCCGTCACCGTCGGATGTAGGTTAATGTAGGCTTTACAGAAAACCCACTGCTTCTTGGCGAATAGAAGGGAGACCAACGTCGGATCATCTACATACCGAAGCGCCTTCCAGTTAGTAACTGTCTGCTCACAAAACCCGATTCACCGAATGCAGAGTACAGGGCTGCGGCAAACTTACACGCTGAAGAAGAAGAAGCAGAACTTGGCATCGGATTCCGTCTGTCAACCGCCGCCGCAGCAGCAGTAGTCAAGGTGGCAGCAGGAGCACGCCACATGTCGATTCCACCGTTCTCGTTGTTGTGCAGCACTTTCGTGACGTAGCCGGTGTTCTCGTCCATGTCGCGGGCGAACGCAAAGCTGCCGAGTAGCAGCATGATGCAAGCCGAGAGTGCGGATCCGGAGGAGACCATAGTGTGCGACTGGGCTGATTATTTCGGGAGGATTGATGCATGGATGGACGGTTTGTGTGTGTGTACGGGATACCTTTGATGGGTTGACAACTCGATATATATACCGCGAGATGGCAGAGCGAGACTCCGACTGAAGTTTGAACCGACGAGAAAACAATTTCTGCAATGGATAGCGACATGCACTCCGCGAGTCCCACCTTGCATTGAGTCTCCGGCCCCTCCGGATAATCTATGTCTCGCTACCAGCACGACAGGGATCCATCGCTACGACGATTTTCCGGCGCTGTCCGTAGCCGGTAGCGTAGTATGTAGGACGGCCCTTGTCTTCGCTTCGCTGTGTGGGAAGATGGGAGGGACGGGAGTTTCTGTATCGTGCCATGGATGATGAATTCACTGGGGTTCACGTTCTGGGTACCTACCATGAGCACTTCGGCTGGGATGAAGTGCAACCGAAGTACGCGCGAACCGCCCGATTGCGAAATCGCGATGGCAGGCGACAATGATATGCACGGAGCGGAAGAGCAGATTGTCGTTCGACAGGCTCTCCAGATCGTTTAACGCCTATACATAGCCTTCTTCCCTACCTGGATTTTATTCTCGGGTTGCTATAGGGAAGGCAAAGATGTAAAGTTTTCGTGGCCTAAAGAACCAAAGACCTTATCAGTGGATAATTACCGTACGCGTATCTAGTGGTGCTCCCGAAGGGGAGTCTGGGAGCATCCCACCAGCGAGACCGCAATACGTCGGCAGTCAGGTTACTGCCGGCACCGAAGCCTCTCCACGTGGGCGTAACATTAGCCAAAATCAAGAAGCGCAGAAATCGTATCAAGAGTGGAGCCCAGCCCAGGGGAAAATTTCTTGCGAGCAATGAATAGCGTTAAGATACATCCGGTCGGCAAAAAAGTAGTAGCCGTGTAGTACATATGAACCGGCGCCCGCAAGACTATGGACGGTAATTCAAACTTCAGCCAGCTGAACCGGAGGGTCTACAGATTCTATAGGAACCGTGCGATGCACATGCCGAGCGATGTTTCCATGTAGGAGACCGCTCGTCCACTCCCTGACTTGCCCCGGGACTCAGCTGCACGCTGTCGGAAATGGATATACCAGCCATGCCTGGCTCCAGCCAGCCAAAGCCATACCACGAATCTTGATGTCCTCGCTGAAGCACTCGTGAATTCACTAGAGGCTCCCTCCGAGTCGTATGCCTCCCTCTCTCTCATCTCTCCTCTCTCTCCTCTCTCTCCCTCCCACCTCTGTGGGTGACCTCAAACAGTGTTCTCGATACTCCGGTCCAGACTGCAGTCCGGACGGGACGCAATCTTCTTGACTATGGTGGACTTGCCAGTTCCGCAATTGCGAATAATCACCTCGTATTCCGAGCCAATGGTGAGGTTGTTCTGAACCATATGCAATACAGCCGGACGCTCCATGATGTCGGCAGGACCCAAAACCGCAATTGGCTGAAAGGCGGCGTATATGTTTTTCTGCGGGTGTTTCTTGCGCCAGTAGGCGTATCCGGCGTCCACAGTTAGCAAAGCGACCGCATAACTACCCAGGACAAGACCAGATATTCTAGTAGCTGGAGGTTGGGAAAAGGAATCAATCCGGATGTTTGCCATTCTCACGTCGCCTTATTAAGCCAAATCCACGTTTCGGCGCCGTTCGCATCTTCATCTTCGCCTGTTCTCCGCTCGCGGCGGCCCCCTGCGTGGGTTCCCCGCTCATGGTAGCCACCGGCACTGGCACTAGCGTATCGGACGCGAGCAACAGTATTACAGCCACCTCGGAGGCAGGCCTGGGAATCGTCCGTCCCGTCCGTCCGAGGCTGTGTCCCGGACAAGACGGAATTTGTCGGGCGCGGAATAGCAATGACTATAGGGCTCCGGGCAAGCCGGAGGTCTACTGGGGCCCCATTCGGGCCCGGAAATTGTGGCGCTAATACTAGCCTTGGGCAGTGGCATAGTGGCGCCGTGGCTCAGCAGGCAGAAATGACGGCAAGGAGCACACGAGTAAGGAGTTGACCGCACGGTGAGGAGTTAGACGGCTAAGGATCTGGCAGGACGGCGAAAAATGGGCACTCCCGTATCCGATCGGATGCAAATTTTCACTGGCCACAATTTTGCGGCAAGCCGGCACCGTACACTTAGTAGCCAGCCGCTTCCGTACTAAAAAATCCCGGGCCCCGGGCTTTTTGGACCTGGGAGCCCGACTCGTCCGGCCAAATCCTCGCCCCGGACAAGACGGGTAGACCCTCGGTACCACTTCTATGGAACACTTGGGGCTGGGAAGTCGCACCTGCTCGCTGCGCTTACCTGTCTCCTCATGCGCGAGGGAAAGCGTGTGATGTTCATCCCGGACTACAGTGAGCTCTTGATGAACCCAGCACAGTACTTTTCGCACCGCGTTGCAGTTGACGTTCGATAATCACGAACGCATTGAGCCTGAACTTAAAGCACTGCGTCGTCAGCACTCAGAACAGTCCACTTCACTCAAGCGGATGACTGGTTTATGTGAGGGGCTGTCCGAGCATGGTGATTACGTTCTCTTCATCGTTGACCAGGCAGATGCGGTCGATGATGCTCCACCGGGAATGCCACGCTTCTCGAACGAGAACCAACACGTTGTTCGCTCGTTTTTCGACACTGCCATGTCCTCACATATGAAGTTGGCAGGCTACACTGCCAACTACAAGTACGCTCAGGTGGATGAAGATTGTCAGACGTCTGAAAAACGTGTTCAGCTCTACCATGGTTTGAAAAATGTAGGAGATTGCGTTCCGGTGTGGTCATGCATGTCGCTAACTGTTAATAGGAAGAGATGAAGGCCTTGTGGGGGAACCATGGGGGAGCTCTGTCCAAACAATTACATCCGCCAATTCCGTTCAGCAAAGCTGAGAAGAAGTACCTAGAAGACTTAACTGGCAGAATGCCTCTCTTCCTTCGATTGCTGGGTGACACTACGCCCGAAAGCAGAATCCAGCTAACCATCGAGGCGCAGGGACCTCTCGGTCTTGCCGACATCGTCAAAGCCCGTGGATCTCCCGATCTTGCTGAAATTCCGCCACGGCTCACCCAAATTTACGACCGTGTTTGGAAGTCCGACGAAGTTCGTACGGTGGTTCGGCATATCACCAGGTTTTGGGAGAACAATCGAACCCAATTAGCCGTCGAATAGATGAGGGCGTAAGTCCTCCCTACCCTACCATCTACGACTCGCGCAGACAAAGTAGGGGTGCTGACGGACGGGCACGTGCTAGATACACTGACGCAATGCTTGCCTGTGTGACCAACCGCGAAGTGGATGCTGGAGCTTCCGATCTCCTAGACTCGCGGTACTTTTTCGTTGATCGGGAAGGCATTGGGCATGCTACCTGCGGCTTTTCCTGGCAGGTTGCCAAGGGTTTACTCCTTAACGTTTTCAATATCAGCGACTTCCCCGATACGCTGTGGGAGGCCAACTTGATACTCAGTGGTGGCAAGAATCGATCCGTGCTAGGTTTCCATGTCGAATGCCTCGTCCTCAGAAAGATTATCAATGAGGGGTGTCCGGCAGCAGGCCCAGGGTTTGAGGGCCGCGGGAGTCATTCGGTTTTCGGGGAAGACCTGCCGCCGCCGGTGAATGATGATTTCGAGGGCTGGAGGCTGTATATTCCATCAGCCTACAATTTCCGACCCGTCGATGGCATCCTGGTGTAGCGCGCGGAGGAGAAGAAGACGGAAAATGACGCCACAGGGAAGGCGGAAGTTAGTACCATCAACAAAGCCGTTGTGGTTGGGATCCAGATAACCATAGCTGGTTCGCACCGCGATTCCGAGGGGATGTTCTTCCGCAAATGACACCAGTGGGCGGCGACTTTGAGATGTGACAAGATCAAACTTTGGTTCTTATGAATCGTGCAGTACACTTGCGGCAGGCTATACGAATAATTAATTCCCGCAGAGTTAAGGAGTGGCGGCACGGTTACGTTGGTACCGGAGTTCACAAGGCTAGTGGCTTCAGTCACGGATGTGGCACCGAGTGTCGGTGGGAGTCTGGAGAAGGCCAACAAAAGTCGGTGGGCAACAGCGCAACGGTAATGGTCTGTATGAACGCAATTTCTGTTTGTTTTTATTCATTTTCTGAGGCTGCATGTGATTCATCGGAGGCGCGCGGGAGTAGTTCGAGGATTCGATTCGGTGCTGCGTATTACTTTCTTGGGGTTCTTCGTATTTGTGGCGATGGCGGTGTGATGTGCAGTCTGTTCGCGGAGGTGGATAATCCAGGATTGTGCCGAGATGATTAAATGGAAGAAAATGCGAGCCGAAATAATGGGATAGCGGGGCGCGCCTAGTCTCTAAAAGGAAGGGACACCTCGGCGTGAGGGAGCGCGGTAGCTGCGTCTGCTATTCATACCGCACCTTTGGATTCAAGAACTTTCGAAAAATAGCCCATTTGTTCTTTTATTGCACGTAGTTGCTCCCTCTTACGGCTGGCTTTACGATTGGCACCTAGAATGAAAAGACGCACCACGGGATATACAATGGAAAGACAAAGGAGAGAAGACAAACAAAATCCCGAAAGAATTCCCTTCCTTCCCCTCCTATTTCGCTCCCCCGGAGAGGTCAGTAGGGCTGGAGACAGGGTGGAACAAAGGTTGTATCAGTTCCTGTCACCGCCATAACCTCCCCATCCACCTCTCTCTCCTCCCCCAAATTTTCCTTGCGTTCCCTCTGAGGACGTGCTACCCAGCTCTTCCTTCACTGAGGGCGCCAGCCTCTCGCATTTGTGGTTGGCAGCAACTGCAGCATGGACTTACAGTACTGTTCGACCGTTAACTTTCCGTCTATGTTGTGTAGCTCTTGCAGGTCGAGTGACTTGTGAAACAATAACGAGTGATTGGCAGTGCGACAAACGAGCGAGCAACAGTGATGTTGATTGTTATGTTTGTCTGATTGATTGTTCAAGGGTATCTCTCGTTTGCTTGTTTCCTTGTCACGAGTTTGTTTCACAGTTTGTGTTTGTTTCACAGCCGACTCGCATATTGCTGATTTCTGTCGTCATCACTGTTGATTGCTCTCTCTGCTGTACGATTGAGGATCTGCTGTCTTGGTACCTATAAAAGGGCCTGATCCTGGGCACCTAGCTAGACTTCCATCTTAGATATCTTCTTCAGTCGAAAACTATCTCCATTACCTACCACCAACAGTTCAACAAGTAATTGCAGAGCAGAGCGAGTGGCAGTCTATGCGATCTTACAAGTGTCAGCTCATGCACCCGTGCTATACCCATTCGTCAGAGATGAGGGTAACAGCAGCTAATTCAATAGATGTGTAGTGTGCTATCATCTGTTTCTATAATATTGGAAAGTACGTCTGGACTGCTAACAGAGGATGGGATACGAATTACATTTGCTGTTTACAAGGTGCGAATTCCTTTTAGCACATGCACAGCGTGAATGGTACACACTACCGCAAGATGCAGGCATGATGTACACCAGCTTAGTACTGTCACGGATTGCAACGGGACAACCGAGGGAGATACGGAACAGGAACTGGATCGCACGAGAGGCAACACGCGGGCAGCGCAGGAATGAGCCGCAGAGGATTGAGGTTGTGTGCAAGAAGCCAGGGTAGCTGTGACACCCCAATAGACTCTCGGGCAGTCATAGCAGGAGTGGAACGTTCGGAAGTGATCGAGACATAGGATTAGATAGTCATGGCGTGAAGACGAGTTAGGCAGGAGTGAGCAAACGGGATCCAGAGTCTAGACAGGGATTGACGATACGGGTGATGCTCGGTAAAGTCCAATACAACCGAGACGGCCTGAGGCAGGGCATCATGGAACCCTGTAGAAAGGAACGACAATCATGGAACATGTTATGACGCGCGATTACCAATGTATCGAGAAATGGGAGCCTGTAGAACCGGGCCGGTTCTCTGCGCCGACATGAAGATATGTACTACTTACTCTGAGTGTCAGGGCTTGCGACGGAAAGACGAAGGAAGAGTCGGCGCAAGGATTATAAAAGTTGGGAGGGAGTGCACCGGCAGTGCACTGGCAGTGCAAGGATGAGGCGAAGAAGATTGGGGGTTGTGTGCAGGGAGCAGGGATAGCGCAGTAATCAGCCGTAGGGGATTGAGGCTGTGTGCAGGAAGCAGAGGTAGTACGGCTGCACAGGGTACGAGTCACGGAAGCGGGGTACTGGCATGGTGGATTTCTCAGGGTCTGGCACACGCCCACGGTCATTGTCAGATTGCGGGAACAAGTGGAGGATGTTCTATATAAACGGGCGGTTGCCCCTCTGTATTTAGTTCTTCACGCAACAACTTGTTAATTCAATCACTGTTACCTGTGTCCTTACTTCGGCTGCCGTCTGCGCCGTAGTCCTTGTCCCTGCCTCTGTTCTCAGTTGCCGTCTGCACTGAGCCCTGCCTTACCTTGTCCTCTGCATACGTCATGCCTCTGCCGAACCCAGAACCCGATCCCCCGCCCGGCTTCGCTACCTGAAGCCTTGCTCGACCCTGCCGTTACACTGAGCTATGCTCGGGTAGGAAGTGGTAAGCACTTCTTGCCTAGCCGGAACGGCTATCCCTGCAACAGCTTACGACGATTCTATGGCCTAGACGCAGTGAGTGACTCTTCATAGCGCTTACGTCAGAGCATGACGTAAAGGAGCATTTGCAACGGAGTTCCCCACAACAGAGTTTGCCGATCACATGCCAGGTGTCTGGGTAGAATCCATAGTCACTCGGCCATCGTCACGCAGATCCCGAACACCAGCACAACCAGAACACTGAACACTACCAACGATACCCCGCAAGATTATTTCGTTGTGAATTATTGAAATCCCTGACTTTTATTCTATACTCGATATCTATCAAGACTCGGATGTCCTGAAACCGTTCCAGTCTCACACTATAATCTTAAGAGTCATAAGTTACCGATTTCACAACACACAACCACTATGTCATCCTCCAACATAGACATGCTTCGCCCCAAATACTCACAGACGCTTGACGCGGCGCTCTCAACCACACACACGGCCGGCGCCACGATCGAGATTGCAAACTGCTCTGCCTGGTTGAGAATGATACTGCAACAATACCACCTTACGCAGTGCGACCTACGCCAGATGTACACCGCATGCGGCCAAGTCTTCAACCGCAACGGCAGCCAGATGCGAGAAGCCGAACGCAACTACTACCAACTCTGCAAGGCCATGAAGTATCTTGATACGCAACACACGGCAAAAAACAAACTCGCTACGGGATGGCTACGCACGGAACTAGCAAACGCCGCCATCCAAACCTGAAACAGCGACGTGTGGGCAGTAATTACAGAGCGCAGCAAGGAGGATGAGATTAGGCTGCAAAACAACAGCATAGCCCACGCCCGACTCCAAAGCGTGATTATCTGCCTACAAACCGTTCAGGCCGAGCAGAGAAAAGCCCAGGAACACTACAATCGCAGCATCAAGGTATGGGCGGAACAGGAGGTGAGAAGGAGCGGCGAGCTCCACAAACAACAGGAGGTGTTGAAGAGGCTAGTGAAGGAAAATGTAAAAGCATTGAAGCAGGTGGAGATCCACGCAGGAAAACAGAAAGAGAAGGTTCCGGAATGAGTCCGCACAAGCGCAAGAGAAAGATCAAAGTCTGGAGGATCACGCGCATCAGCTGCTGGCCCAGTTAGGGACCGCGATGGTTCTGGAACGGTTCCCCCTCCCCCACCTGCGAGAAATCCAGCTGCTAACGCCAGAGGTGACCACTCGGATCACGAATCCACTGACGATGAAGAACCTCCGACAAGAACCTCGTCTGTTCACTGCGGAGGCCACTCCGCTCTCCACCGGGATGCCGGCCATGTGGACGAAGCACAACGCTTAGCCCGCATCATGGCTGAGTGTGACGGGGGCTCCTCCTGAGCGGCCGACAGGTATCCTCACTAAACTGAGAGTAGAATTTTCGTACTAACTGAAGATATCCCGAGTAACTATTTACTCAGACACTTAGAAGAATCTTAAGGTCTTCGCTATCGAGGTAGAGATGGTTGTTATTGTGCTCTAGAATTATTGCGGGCGAGCGACCGTATTCTTTATACAATCCTTTCTCGTCTCGACAACTTAATTCTATCACCTACAAACAGCTGAGAGCACCGCGCGACGACACAACACGTTTCGCGAAGATTCCCGGCTGTCACACGATACTTTCTTATCGCCGACCCGGTAACTCCGGAAAGTGTTGACGTCACTGGGATTTGGGCCTGTAACCTTCTGCAGGTTACGCGGACCAACTTCCTAATGAAGACTCACTAACCGCTATACTATGACAGACTTATTTATGTCTGTCTTCATTTCTATGTTATTTATGTGGGTAGGTGGTTACGCAGACTCTAGGCGTTTGCACCCACACCACCTCTTTATTTCTAAGGTTCTGCACTTGTTCACTAACTACAGCGACATGCGTGCGCGGCCAACTCCTACACCACTTGGTGCGGGGTCCCTTCGGGATCCTCTGACCGCTCGGCGTCCCGAGTGGCCTTGATCCGTAGCACGTAGTCTTGTAATGCACAGGTTCTCCGTGTTGCTGATTCGGCTGCAGCCGACTCTCAGTACAGGGAAACGTGTTACATTGTCTGCCTAGTAAACCTGCCCTTACTAACTATCTGACACATCCGTGACACTGAGGCCCTCACAAGGGCAAACTGAGGGATTCAGAAA